TCCAACACCCTCTCAGTAAAAAAGTGTTTCCTGATGTTCAGGGAGAGCCTCCCGTGTTTCAGTTTGTGCCCATTGCCTCTTGTCCCGTCTCCGGGCACTGCTGAGAAGAGCCTGGCTCCATCTTCACCCCTCCCCTTCAGGCACTGATCTACAGTGACAAAATCCCCCCCCAGCCTTCCTTTCTGCAGGCTGAGCAGTCCCAGGTCTCCCAGCCTTTCCTCAGGGGAGGTGCCCCAGTCTCTCCATCATCTCTGCAGTCCCTCACTGGACTCTCTCCGGTGTGTCCATGTCTCTTGTAGTAGGGAGCCCACCCTGGGACACAGCACACAGGCTGTGGCCTCCCCAGAGCTGAGGGGAGGATCCCACCCCTGACCTAACAGGCCAGGAAGGGCAGGGGCACAGCAATGGCTCGGGTTCAACTCAGCATCTGCTGGAACCTCCAGGTGTTTCTTAGGGAAGCTGATCAGCACCCAGCGCGTTCTGGTGTCTGAGGTTGTTCCTCTCCCTGAAGGTGCAGGACTTCACTCTTGCCCTTGCTGAACTTCACAAGGCTCCTGTCAGCTCATTTCTCCAGCCTTCCAGGTCCCTTGGAATGGCAACACCGTTCTCTAGTGCATCAGCTGCTCCTCCCAGTTCTGTGTCTTCAGCAAACTTATTGAGAGTACACTTTGCCCCATCATGCAGGTCATTAAAACACTTCTTGTATGGATTGTGTTACAGTGCTGAAGATGTCTACAAAGTAGGTGTTTCTGTCTAACCCAGCTGCCTGGGCTCTTCTTGCAGCAGCAGAGGGAAACAGGCATGCCCAAAGCGTGGTCCATTCCATACTGCAGCTGGCAGTGCTGTTCATCAGGCACAGAGCGACCAGAGATGAATTTCTGAGCTGCAGCTGTATAAACTGACGTGAAATGCATTCCACATCCCACTCTTTCTGGCCTGTCTATTTGCTGTGAGACCAAACTGCTGCTCAGCATGAAATTCTTCCCAAAATCAAAGCCATGACCTAATGGCATTAGATTGGCCACGTGCCAAGGACGCAGTCCAGGGGTGAGCAGTCAGCGCCTCGTGGGAATGACCTCAGAGCCCAGGATGACTTGTTTTATTAGTACCCAGCTGAGGAATTCTGTCTTATGGGAACTGAGAACAAGCATTAAAGGCTCATCTTCGTGCATATTGTCCCTATTTTCTTTGTCTGCTTTCCCTTTATCTGCTACCTTAAGTAGCACAGAGCAAATTACTTGCAATTCAGGAAACAGAAACTTCACAGGGCAGAAAATGGAGATGCAACCGAAGATGGCCTTTTATTGTTTTCCTAATTCTAGTGTGGGCTGAATTACCATTGCAGTTATTGTTGTGTAAAATGATGACGCAATAAGTAGCCTTATTAGAAGGAAATGAACCATCAGGGAGGAAAATATTGAAGCATATCCAGAATTTTTCCTGATTTATCTAAAAACCAATCTGCCAGTTTTGATGTAAAAATATATTTGAGAACTTTCCTCACTGAGCAGTGAACAGCTAAAATAAATCCTCCTAAACAGATCTGTCTCAATGATATTTAGTGCCCTAAAGCAATATCAGCAAGAATACAGAACATTTTAGAGGCATGAAACTCTTGATCCAGCCAGAAGTTCACATTCTTCTCATGGGCCTTTCTCGTCTCTAGTTTTCCTCTCTGGTTACAGGATTATCATCACCACCTTCTCACATGATGTTCCCTAATCCTGGTAATTCGAACTCAGATCCTGAAGTACGAGTTTCACTCCCTCACAGAGGGAGCAGCTGTACAGTTCCTTTGGGAGTCTTGCCAGGTGTAAGGTCTCAGCCACATTCTCTGGCCATGAATGGATAAACTTGGAAATACTGACTATTATTTGTCCTTATGCTGCAGATCCAGACTCCTGCATTTTTCCTGAACTGTCAGTTCTGGAGGGACCTGAGGTACAGGTTGTTCACAGCAGATAACATCTCCTTGGAGGCAGTTTGAATTCACTGCAAGTTTAGATTCTTACAAATCCTGTCTGCCTCTAGCTGTAGTGATCTGGAGAGAACATCAGACCAAATAGACTTCTCAGTGTGATTTGAGAGATTCCAAAAAGAACAGACAGAGGAAATGGAGACTAAATGTCTGTGCAGCACCAGATGTGCCCTGGAGCAGTTTCCAGAGCTCAGGTCACAGAAGGAGTTTGCAGTTTTCCCTCTTTCCAGTAAGGAATGTGATGCCATGAATTTGTCCCCAATTTTGCCATCTTGTATGGCAGAGTAGAAACACCTGAGAAGGTGCTGCTTGTGCTGTGTTTGTCTTGCTTCTCACTTACCTCTTCTTGTAGATGGAAAAGGACATGAGGAGCGACACAGAAGAGAGCGACAAGGATGAAGAAAGAGATAAAATTAGGGAAAAGGAGAAGAACGGGACCACATACTTCAGCAGCGTGAGCAGCAATGGGTACATCCAGAGGAACGGCTCTGAGCCCCCGAGCAGCAGAGCTCACCTCGCCAATGGCCACGTCAAGGAGAGATAGCTGAGGTGCATGTGCTGCTGGTCTGGCCTTCGGGGAACACAGGCCACCATCTGTAGAAAGAGTTTTGCTCACTGTGTAGATAAAATGGAGTGCAATTGCAGTATCGTAGCTGAATTTCTGCTTCCCTGTAAACAGAACTGTTTATAGGCAGTGATGCTTGAAAGAAGTTTTTGGTCTTCCTTCTGCAAAACTTACTGTAGGTTATAGCCTTGGAAAAGATAGAAAGGGATCAAAGTGGTTTGACTTGTATTAGACTGTACCATAGTTGTCAAATGTTTTAATCTTGAAAAATAATTTTAAAAGGTGGATAAACCCTGTCAAGTTTTACCCACCTTATGTTGTTTGATAGGAACCTGCTTAGCCTGGATCAGCCTCTGGGGCCCTGGCCCATCACCAGTAATGATTATGCCCAACAAGTGTGAGACTTCATATCTTAACTCTGGGACACTTCTTTGGAAAAGACAGGTACCCTGTGACACTTGGAAAATTAAAACTGAGCATAATGAAATGAAAGCTCTGGAAAGACATAGGAGGAAACATGTTCTTCTCCAAGGAAGTACTCTGTGTGCCAGCGACCAGTTCTGTAATGGTGTGGATCTCAGTCCCTGTTTGGGGTCAGCATTATTGCCTCAGAGGTGGGAACTCTAAAGCCCAGGCCAGAGGGGCACCCACCCAAATCACAGTTGGAAGAGCTGGAAAATCCAGACAGCTGTTTCTCAACTGTCAGGTAATCCTTTAAACTTTTGTCAGAAGGAAACAGTCAGGAGAAGGGAGGTGACAAGGAACTATATAATCTAGAAGACAACACTGATGAAAGTGCTCATGTTTTCACCTAGTGTGACTGGCACCGTGGGAAATGTTTACACACTCAGCTTGTGGCAAGAAGGGAATATGTTTCCCCTGTCCTCAGAGCAAAAAGGATCCAGAGAAAATCAGCTGAACCTTATGGAATAATGCTTTAACCCAGCTTCTAACTCTAGGGCCTTTGCCAAGTGTATCAAGAGCAGGAAGTGTAAAGCAGTGATCCATGAAGTCATGATGCAGTGCTGATTCAGTTAGTTTAGATGCCATATCTTATATTCTGTGTAGTCTTAGATTTTGGATTCTGCAGTCCCTTAAAACAGTTAAATTAGTGTTACATGAATTTCTGTTTTATAGGTCAATTAATCTATGAAACCAAAGTATTAACAGGTTCACTGTAATGAGTGCAGGGACTTCGACTGCCAAGGCCATGCAGACACTTCCCTCTATGTGCCCAATGTTCATTGGGGGGAATAGGACATGGACCAAGAAGGTGCCTTATTTGAGGAGGTGGTACACATGTTTAAATTAAAGGCAAGTGACAGCATGGAAAGACAAGAGGGTTTTCATCAATCCACTCAGACCACCTGAGATGTGACTGAAAAAGATTTGATCTGATGAGCTTGTTGTGCTCATCTTTGGTTTCAGTCAAAACTCATTTGGATGATTGGATTTCTAAACTGGAATTGGATCATTTCGGAGGGGGAAAAGTAGTTCCAGTATGGGTAATTCCAGGGCAGTAACATGGTGTGAGAGGAGAGCATCTGCTCCTGCATTGTCATTGAAATCCATATTTGTTGAGGATAGTTTGTCTCTGAAACCTGGAGCTAACTGAAGTTGGAGGCACACATTCTGTATGCTGTGAACTGGGTGACCTTGCCCCTCTGCAGGTGGTGTGCTCAGGAGGGATGGATATATATCATTTTGTACTACTGAATGTAAACATTCTTTATAAATAACTTTTAAAAGGCTTGATTGTCTGTGCTCTTTTCTACTTCTTTAACTACCAGGAGGTGACCTGGCTGGCTGCACCTTACAGGTGCACATGTGATGAGGGAGACACGTGTGGGTGCCACTGCCAAGGGGAGGATGTTGCATACCCAGGACAGCCACACTGGGCTGTGCCAGTAGAGAACTGGAGCTGCCTGGTTTGTCTCCTGGGATGGGGAATGTTGCTGGGCAGGATGGAGAAACCAAAACTGAGACTACTGGGGCCTTGAAGGTGCCAGAAGATCTCAGTGGCTCTGGACAGTCTCCCCCAGGACCCCCATCCACACCCTTTGTCAGGTGTCAGAGCTGATTAACAAAGGAGGGCTCTGTAGGCTTAGAAGGAAAAGCCTGATAGAAAGAGGGGGCAAGAGAGATGTCCCTGCTGACACTGTCACCAGGTGGGGACTTTAGTCATCCACGCAGCAGTGTGGTGATTGAAATCAGCCACCTCCTCGACACCCACTAAACTACTGTCTTGTACTAGGACATCTTACCCCACCTCCAGGCTCACAGGCAGGTCAGAACAAGTGATGCTGTTTCACCCTAGTCTGTCATACCCGTGGAATTGAGTAGGAGGTGGGGACAGAGGGGGACGAGCTGTTGAGCTGGGAATCCTGATTTAGCTGTGAGCTTTATGCCTTGCTGCTACCTGCTTGCTGCAGGCAGCCTCTGCTTTCTGTGCCCAACATCTTGACCAGGATGGGGGTGTCGGAGGGGTTCTGGCACCATGAATTCTGGCTGCCACCTGGAGCCACCTGGGAGGACTTGAAGGAGTCTGCAGACATCCACTACCCACAGCCTCAGGACCTCCTGCTCTGCATCCCTGGTGCTCTGCTGTTGATCTTTGTCCGATGCCTCTTTGAAAGGTGAGTGCAGCACCTCTGGTTTCTCCTGTGCTGTTCAAGACACTGTCCAGTGTCTTGCAGGGTTGCTCCAGGATAATCCTTACCTGCCTCCCAGCCACTACAGTACAAAGTGTACAGGGGCTTTTCCCCAGGAATGCTGAACCTCTGTTTTCATGGCATATGGTATTTGTGTGGCAGCCCTTTGGCCTGCCCTCACTCTCCTGTACCTGTGCTATAACCTGTACCAGCAGATGTGAAAAGACAAGTCCATCACTCAGTCACACCTGAGCTGTGGGTGGAGAGTCCCCCTGGAGAGAGACAAGTGGAAGCTTGCAACACAGATAAGGGATTTACTGGTGTTGGGAGCCCCCAGCTGAGCCAGGGTTCAACCTGATCCTAGAGGGTGCTGTGTGAGACCCCCACCCCAGAACAGAGGCTGGAGCAGGGGGTGACCATGGCTCCTAGAACTCGCTGTGGGACCACTTTGCTCACACCACTCCTTGCCCAGCTCTGCTCTGCTTCTTCCTCCCAGCACCAGAGGACCCCAGTTCCACCAGAGGTGATGCCCTTCAGTGTCCCACTGTGGGCACTCCACCCCAGGGGAGTCTGAGGGTCAGCTGGCATCTCCCCAGAATTCATGTGTGGAAATGAGGCAGGTCCACATGGCTCATGCCAGGAAGCTGTCTCAGCACATCTCCCCCGAGCGCTGGCTCCTGCCTGCAGTGTGCAGCTGTGTGAGAAGATGTGGCAGACACCAGCTGTAGGAAGAGCCAGAATTAATTCCAGTGTCATCAGGTCTTCCCTCAAAGAAGCAAAGGCCTGTTGCACTTGCCTGACTTCCTAGAAACAAGGTGATTTAGAAAGCAGTGCCTCCCAGCAGATCTCTCCTGCAGGAACCAGCATATCCCCACATGTTGTGTCCTTGGCTCCTGCAGGCAGTGGGCAGGTACCCTGGGCACAGAGCACGTGGGACACTCAGGGGCACTTGCAGACTGGCTTTGTGGCATAGTCTGGACTGCTCTGGAATGCTGTAAAGGGGACCAGCATGCACACAACACAGAGACATGCTCTGTGTCTGGGGGCCTCGGCAGAATGAGTTATTGCTTACTTAGCAGTGGTCACTGTTGTCTCCACTGCACAGTCAGCATCCCTCACCTTTGTTTTGGTGCCACTGTGTCTGTCTGAAGAACGAGCACTGACCTGACAGAGGCACTGGGCTGTGCATGTGCTCTGGGGCAGTGCTGGGTCCCCAGGGCTGTGTGTGCAGAGCTGGCTGTGTGAGCTCTGGGGCAGTGCTGGCCCTGGGGCAGTACATCCATGCACAGAACAGCAGCACCTTGCTGCTGGCTGACCCTGGCTCCCAGTGGGGGCACACAGGTGCTTTTCTGCCTGAACTCTCCTCTTGCAGAACTGTGGCTCTGCCCTTGGGCAGGGGGTTGGGTGTGAGGGACAAGCGGAGGCCCAAAGTCCAGACCAACGCCACGCTGGAAGGCTTCTACGTTCTGCTGGGCAGAACCCCAAAGGAGGTGAGTGGCCCCAGTGTCCCACTGTCCCCAGAGCCCAGGCAAGCAATACCCTCTTTCTGTCCAGGTACCCCAGGCCATCCAAACCTGCCTCACAGGCAAGATAGTTAGTGCTCACCACCCTTCCAGGGAAGGAGAGATATGAACAGATATTCCAGCACCTTCCAGTGTGTCCAACTGCTGCAATCCCAGCATGTCCTGACCTGCTGTGTGTCAAACACAGGTGCTGTGAGAGCTGCTGGCTCTGGCAAGGAGGGAGCCATCACCCCTTTGGGTACAGTCTATTAAGGCTGATTATTTTTAGCAGAGCTGCAAGTCCTCCAGAATCACAGAATCATTTAGGTTTGAAAAGCTGAGATCATCAAGTCCAACCATTAACCCAGCACTGCCAAGGCCACCATGTCCCCAAGTACTGCATCTACACATCTTTTCAATCCCTTCAGTGATGGTGTCTCTGCCACTGTCTTGGACAGCCTTGGCTTGAGGTAATTCCAATCTAAACCTCCTCTGGCCCAATTTGAGGCCATTTCATCTTGTTCTACTCTCCTGTCAGGGAGTTGTAGAAAGTGAGAAAGTTCCCCCTGAGCCTCCTTTTCTCCAGGCTGAGCCCCCACAGCCACTCCTGGTGCTCCAGACCCTTCCCCAGCTCCGTTCCCTCCTCTGGACACGCTCCAGCCCCTCAATGTCTTTCTGGTCATGAGAAGCCCCAAAACTGACCCCAGGTTTTGAGGTGAGGTGTCAGCAGTGCCAGCACAGGGGGACAGTCACTGCCCTGGTCCTGCTGGCCACACTGTGGCTGGTACAGGCTGGGTGCCAGTGACCTCCTTGGCCACCTGGGCACACCTGGGCTCATGTTCAGCCTCCACTGACCAGCACCCCCAGCCCCTTCTCTGTTGCACAGTTTTGCAGCCACTCTGCCCCAAACCTGGAGCATTCCATGGGGTTCTTGTGACCCCAGGGTAGGACCCAGTGCTTTGCCTTGTTGACCCTCACACCACTGGCCTTGGCCCATCAATCCAGCCTGTCCAGTTGCCTCTCTGGAGCCTTCCTGCCCTCCAGCAGATCAGCACTCCCATCCAGCTCAGTGTCATCTGTGAACTGACTGAAGGTGCCCTTGATCTCCTCTTCCAGATCATCTATGAAGATATTAAACAGGGTTGGCCCAAAACTGAGCCCTGAGGAACACCACTGGTCACCAGCCCCCAGCTGGATTTAGCTCCACTCACCACCACTCTCTGAGCCTGGATCCTGACTCACACTGATGCATGGATTTTAAAAATAATTTTTTACTTAAATCTGTATGAAGCTTTGCCAGAATAATTAAAAAATGCTCATGAGCTCATATTTACATTCATTTTAATCACAATTTATAAATCTTATGTCCATGTAGTGTTATTTGGAATTCACGTAGAAAATGAGGATGTTGAAAGTGATGTCTTTGAGCCTGTGACTGTGCAGACTCTCCAACAGCTGGATGGTTTTGCTGACATTATTGAATGAATTATGTGCTTGTTTCTTTATCATCACAGGCTGAAACTTTTTTTATCTTCATGTTTGTTATCTGTAGCTGATAATCATAAGTCAAAATTGTATCAGAAGTGGAGAAAAACGTATTTAGACTTTTATAACCAGACATTGTATCCCACTGCGTAGAGCTGCTAAAATTTAACCAGGGAGAGGCTGTGCTTATTTCTGAACCTGCATTTAGATATGCCTGAATTGAGTTAAAAATGGCCACAAATCATCTGGGAGTTCACAAACGCAAATAGAATTGATAGGATTTTTTTCCAAAGAAAGGTGTTCTTTGGGGAAAGGCGGCTGGGCAGCCTGTGGGAGCACAGCTCTTCCCCTCACACAGGGACCAGCAGCCTCCAGAAGGCTCAGTCCTGCCTCCCTGCTCTGTTTTCCAGGAGGACCTGATTTCACTGGCCAAGCAAAGTGACCTGCCCATCAAAGAGGTGCAGACCTGGTTTCGGCACCGGCGGGCTCAGGACCAGCCCAGGCTGAGCAAGAAGTTCTGTGAGGCCAGGTAGGTGGGTCAGTGGAGGCTTTGAGTGATGGAGGCCTCCAACAGGTCTGCACATCATCACCACCCTCTGCCCTGTCCTTACCCAAAACATGCTCCCAGGGGAACCTGCTGCCAGCTGTGGCTGCCAGCAGAGCCTCTGTCCCCTCCCTGCAGCACTGCCAGCTTCGCCCTTCCTCCCTCCCTCCCTTCCTTCTTTCCTCCCTCCCTCCCTCCCTCCCTCCCTTCCTTCCTCCCCTCCCTCCCCTCCCTTCCCTTCCTTTACCTTTAAAAGTTAAAGTTTCCTCAACAGAGTCTAGTGGCCTTGATAGAGAACAGGTTGAAATCTCAGTGCTGGAGGGATTTTGAGCACTCTAGCCATTTTCAAAATGCATTCACTTCTTTTCAAGATGATCCTGATACAAAATTAGCATTTTAAGATATTGCCAGCATGGATCATTGGGCATAAAATAAATCCATGAAGTGCAGTTAGTAGGCAATGCAAGCCATCAACAGAGGGAGGCAAAACCTGAAAAACACCAGAAAGCACCAAAATCTTCATTCTTTTTCCTCAAGCTGTTTGCTCTCCTACATGAAATCTTCCTGCTTATCTCAGCAGCACATGGAGTCAGGATGGAGAGAGGAGTCACTAAGTGTCTTGATCAAAAGAATCAGGTTATCGCTGGTTCTCACCTTGAGGTTTAATGATGTATGAACACAAAGACCCCCATCAAGTAAGAGATCTGCTCTCCTTCCCCTTCTGAAAAATAAAATACTCAGTGCTTGAATCCTGTTACTTTGCTTTTTCAAAAATATTCTCCCCCTGAGAACTTGTTCAGTGCTCCACATGCAGCATGTCTGAGGAAAGTGATAAAACCCCAATACTCCTGTGCCATCACTGGGAAAAATTAGGTGCCTTCCACAGGCTGGGGTGTATAAGCATAGGTGATCTACAAACACCCACACAACAGAAGGTGACAGGGAGAGGCAGCTTGGTAGTCTTGCTGCGTCCTCTTTAACACTGGTGGAGTGCACAGAGAATCTGGGCACAGTGAGGACCACAGCAGAGCCTGGGTGGGCTGTGAGTACCTTGTTGCCCTACAACACATGCTTGCTGTGCCAATGGAGCTGAGATTCTGCAAATTCCTGTCCAAACAAGCATAGGTTCCCCTGTGGGCATCCTGGGCACAGCCTGGACCGCTATTCCAACTCTGGAGGAGGTCTTAATTCCTTGTTTTGTGTTTTAGCTGGAGATTCACATTCTATTTTACCTCATTCTTCTCTGGACTGGCTCTTCTGTATAATGTAAGTATGTGAGCAGGTGGTGCTGTGAAGTGACACCTTGCAAGGGTACCTTGTTCATTGCTAATGATGCTGATGGTCCCACCCCAAGACAATGTGTGGCCATGACTACGTGGCCAGAGACAAAGAAGGACAAATTCAGGGGTATTCAGGGAGCAGAACGATCCCTAATCCTGATCCAGCATAACAGTTCCCCTTTCCCTTGGTGGGCCTGGCTGGGTGTCAGTGATGTCAGTGGTGTTACCATGCTCTCCTTGTCTTAGATCCTTGTGCAAGTGCTTTGCCACACATCCCCCCACACAGCTCCTGCCTCTCAGACAAGAGCAGACCCTGCCCTGGCTCTGCCTGCTGTCCACTCCTTATCAAGACTCTTTGTGTGCCATCCTGTGCATTCACTAATGACAAATGCATTTTGCCAACCACTTTCTCCAAAGCTCAGAGCCAGACTGGATTTAGCATGGGCACGAGTTCTTGCAGTATTTCTTCCCGTGCTCATCACATCATTAAAAGGCTATGGTTTCTTACTGCTGCCTTCTCTCTGAACAGAAGCCCTGGTTTTGGGACCACACCACGTGCTGGTTGAAATTTCCACAACAGGTGAGCAGCAAGTACATGGAATCACAGGCTAATTCATACTGGAAGGGGGATAAAGAGGTTTCTTGCCCAACCTCCTGCTCACAGCTCTCAGCTGTGGGATCACACCAGGTTACACCAGGTTACCCCAGGTTTGTTCCAGTTGAGTTTTGAAAACATTCAAGCATGAAGACAGCACAACCTCATGGTGAAAAGCTTTATCCTTATAACTCCTTACATCCACCTGTTCTCTTTCAACACCCCTCTCATCACTCATCCTCACATCACACACCAGGACAGCTTGACAAGCTCCTCACAGGTGCTCCATGTGAGCATGGGGAGCTCTGCCCTGAGCAGACACCACTTCTCATGAGTTTCTTTGTCACCCAAGCCTGACTGGAAGTGGCTCTGTGTGTGGGCACAAAAGGGACCAGGTGGTCAGGACATCTGATGTCTCAAAGCAGGGATGGAGATGAGGTTTCTGAGCCCCTGAAGAGGGGAGACCCCAGATGCTCTCAGTCCCTCTGCAGGTTGGCCAGGCTGGTCCTGGTTTTGGGCCTGCCTGTCAGTGCATCAGCAAATGGTTCAGTCACTGGGAACAGGAAAATTTAGGCATGACCAAGCCCTGCTGTCCCAAATGCAGGTTGAATGAAGGGGCTTTGCCCAGGAAGACCCTTCTCCTCTCCTGTCCCCCAGGGCTAGACAGGGCCATCATGCTGCCTGTTGCTTACCTTGCAGCCTCTCCCACCCGCGCTGGGCTGGTTCTACCTCCTGGAGCTCTCCTTCTACTGCTCACTCGTGGCCACCCTGCCCTTCGATGTGAAGAGGAAGGTGAGTGACAGCAGCACAGCCACAACCACGAGTCTGTCCCCTCCTGCTGTCAGCTGCCCAGGGCTGCAAAGGGGAAGGCACATGTGCTGCTGGGAAGACCCTTGAGCACGTGAGCCCCTCCAGCACTCGGATCCCACCACTGCACTGGGCCCTGCCCGTGCATGGTGTGGCCTCCCTGCCTCTTTGGCTGGGGAGGGGCTGGGGGCTGACACGGGGGTGTCCCCACACCTGGCCAGAGGACAGACACTGTGTGGATGTGGCACCACAGCCCTTCCCAGCTCTGCTCTCAGGGGCTGCCTGCACTAGAGGGCCGTGTCTGCTGATGGGAGGGGCCTGGGCTGCTCTGATGAGGGTCCTGTAAATGCATGTGCAGCATGGGATGAGGTGACCTCCTGTACCCAGCATCCAACCTTGCCCTCACCTTGATCTGCAGTGGAGACTGCTCAGAGCTGTAGTACAGTGGGAGCACAGATGCTTTGTGGAGGAAGCAGCATGCAGGAACAGGTGCTGCCAGGTCAAAGGCTGACAATCTCCCTTCTCATGGCAGGACTTTAAGGAACAGATCATCCACCACATTACCACCATCACTCTGATCTCTGTCTCCTACTGTGCCAATATGATCCGGTTTGGGATGATAGTCATGCTGGTCCATGATGCCTCCGATTATATTTTAGAGGTGAGTTAAACACTCACACAGAACCACAGAATGGTTTGAGTTGCAAGGGACCTTAAAGCCCATCTCATTCCAAACCCCTGCCACGGGCAGGGACACCTCTGCTAAACCAGGGTGCTCTAAGCCCCATCCAACCTGCCCCAGGGATGGGGCAGCCACACCTTCTCTGGGCAACCCACCCTCTCACCACCCTGTGAGTGAAGAATTTCTTCCTCTCATCTAATCTAAATCTCTCCTCTTTTATTTAAACTGTTGTCCCTGTAAAAAGTTGCTCTCCCAGTCTCAAGGCTGTGCTCGTGTCTGTGGGCAGCCCTGGGAACTGTGCACATGTTCACATGTTGATGTGGTGCCCCACGAGTGGGACACGGGTATTTAGTGCAAGCACACTTAGGAAGTACCAAACCTTCTGCTCCTGAGGAAAATAAACTGGATGCAAAGGGACTGGGACACATCCCCACAAGCCTGGTCGCCCTTGCAGGATGTGGGAAATCCCTCAGCCCTGAGGAGGAGAACACAGGCACAAGGGACACCCAGCAATGTTTCTTTACAGCTTGCCAAGATGCTTCATTACCTGAAATGGCAGCGGGTCTGTGAAGTCGTTTTCATGGCTTTTGCGGTGGTTTTCATCATCTCCCGGCTTGTCGTTTTCCCGTTAATGTAAGTTCTGTTTTGCTGGTTTCTGAACATGGGTGTTGTGCGCTGTGAGCTCCTACAGAGGTGACCCTCCATGCTGAGAGGAGGAAAGGCAAAGAATGGGAAACAATAGGTAAGTTCAAAGATTAACTCAACTGGAACAGAGGAACCCAAGAGAAGAAAAACCAATAGGGCTTTAACTTAATGAATTCATTATATTAATTAATTACCTCAATTAATCTAGAGCCACAGCCTTTACCCCTCCATTCCCACACTCTCACTATCTCTCCTAGGCAGGGACTGCCTCTCACCTGAGGAGCATTGTAGGTTTCTGATAACTGGCCTATCTGCAAAGCCTTATCACATCACTGGTGATTTTAATTGTGAGCTTCTGTGGGTTCTCTGGGATGTGGGACGTGCTTTGAGGGAGCTGGGCAGAGTGTGAAGCCTGGTGGTTCAGTCCTGGCACAGCTCAGCTCTGCCTTGGGGACACACCAGCCAAGTCATTTCCCAGAAAGGTATTTGACCCCTGTAAGTGTGAAGACACTTGGCCTGCTTTAGTCTTGTGTCTTCTGATTTGCTTCTCCCTCTTTCCCACAGTGTATACTATTACTTTGTGACCAAACTTCCATTGTTCCCTGTAAGCTGCCTGATAAATGCTTTCCTGGTGGTCCTGCAGTTGTTACACATTTTCTGGTCCTATCTGATCATCCAGATGATCTTCACTGTCATCCTCCGTGGTGAGGTATGAAAAGTCTTTGTCTCCTTCGTGCCACCACCACTCATGAGAGACCACGGGGTCCAGGTTTCCTGCCTGCCTGCAGGGAAGGAGTGGGAGAAATGGGACTGCCCAACAGCTTCTCAGTGTGTGGTTTGGGAGAACAAGAATCTGTTGGTATGTCCGAAGTGGAGTAAGAAAGGAGCAACCAGGTAAGCCTGGTAGATAGCACTCTGTGTATTTGCATCTCTGAGTTTTGGGTGCCTTCCACAGGCTCTTGATGCATGCCAGAGCTTGTTTAGAGATCACTGGGAGAAATGTTGTCATCAGAGGGGGCAGCTCCCTGGCCTGGCTTGCTGCAGTAAGCAGATGACACCGTGGGAGCATCTGAGAAGATCTATGAAAGCTTTGGGGATCTGTGGCCAGCAAAAAAAAACCCCACAGTATTGGTGTTATGCCTTCAGTTTACCTTGAATTACCCCTTTATCAAAGCTAAATTACACTAAAAAGCAGTTTTTCTGAGGAAATGATGGAGGATATGCTCATTGAGGTTGTAGAGAGTTGCAAAACAAGGAGCCCAGTCCATACACTCACTGGACAAATATGTGCTGACTTTCCCAGCTTCAACAGTAATAAATTGCACAGGAAAATATACAGAATAACTATATGTAGAATAAGTACTAACTTATTTTCAAAAGGTCACATTACAAGAACATTATTAAGGTGACCAAAAAAAAGCATTCAAAAGTTAGGTGAAACCATAACTAAGTTAACCTCTGGGAGCCTGAGTCAATCTCCCAACACAGGGACAGTTGCAGCACTGGCTTTAAGGACATGATCACACCTCTTATTATCATTTTAGCTGCCAAGCTAACCCCTCAGGGCTGTGAATGAAAACAGGACTAGTCCTCTCTTATCCACCTCTCTATATATGAGATATGTATATCATATATACCGTGATAAAAGTTTTGCAGCTCATTTCAGCTGACTTTTTTTTCTTCAGAAAAGGCAAGATGCCAGAAGTGACACTGAAGAGAGTGACAGGAGCGAGGCAGAGGATCCAGCAAAGAACCAAGAATAACACAGGGCTTGCTGCAAACCACCAGGAGCCAGGCAGACTCTGGAGTGCAGGAAGGCTGAACAGAAGCTGGGGGAGAGGCCAGACAGGCTCTCAGAGGCTTCACCACAGTCTGCCTGAGGCAGCATCCACTGTTCTAGGTGGAGGTGAATTTCTTCATCATCTTTATAGGCAGTTAAGTCACTTCAGGAGATATTTTCTACAATTCTCTTGTTGGGGCCATTCTTTCACTACTACTCTATGATCCTTCATGTTGGAAAAAGAAAGGGTTTGCCAGCCAAAGTCTCAGTCTGAAAAGAGAAAAGGGATTGAACGAGCTGCTGAAGTTATGACACCTATCTGCACTTATCTCAAAGTCTTCCCCAAAAATTCATGAGGGAACAAATTTCAACTGTGGAGGATTTAAAGTATTTGCAATTTCAGAAAACAAACAGTGGCATCGTCTCCAGCCACCTTATGAAAGGACTTGCACATGAAAGGCATTGGCTTAAGTGGTAAATAAGTTTTCACTTCTGTAGCATAAAATGGTCAGGCTCTGGGATAAACCATTTCTGCAAATAAAGCCTGGACAACTGATAGAAGCTGTGTTTGCTGTATGAATTATACAAATTAGCTCGTGGGCCTAAAACACGTTGCTACTTGAATGTCTGCTCAGGAAGAAGGCTCCTGAAATTGAAAGGAACTGAAACTCTTCCAAATGTCCATTTTTCTACCAGAAATTATAATTATAAATAATAGATAGAAACTTTCCATATGTATGTATTAATTTTGTTAAGATTTCATTTCCAAAATTGGACAATAGGAGCATTACAACACTAACATTTTAACAGGATAGTTTAGGGGTTGGATGATGCTTCACCTTGCAATTTATTGCATCTAATTTGATTTTCAGAATTTATAGTAGAACATAAAATTTAAAGTTAATGTAAGATTACACCTTAATTAATTACACCTAAACCAAAAAGCTTGGTTTATGTATATTTTGCATGATGCAGGAGGTTTTTAGAACATCAGAACTTATGTCAGTAGGAGAATCTTCTTTGAACCTAGCTGGAGGTCTAAGATCACATAACTGAGATGCTGAACCAGCTTTCCCCTGAAGGACTCTGGAGGTCAGGTCTGCAGCAGGCAGTGCTGGAAGGCAGGCAGGCACCATTCTGTGGGGCACCAGCCCTGAGCAGGATGTCACCTCACCCCAAGAGCTGCACTTTGCTGGAGGCACGAGACCCTGCAGGAAACCCTGGTGTGTTTGCCCAGGAGTTATTTCACCTTGTCCACTGAGTACAAGGCTTTCTTTTAAAGCTTCAAATGATATACGAGAATCAAAGCTTTTAAAAGCCTTACACGGCCTCCAGGCCACAGCCGACCCCTGGGCACAGAGAACACACCTGAGAACACTCTGCCAGCACAGATGGCAGTAACAGGGGCAGCGCAGCACCCAGGTCGGTGCTGTTGCAATCTCCCCTTCTCAGTCAGCCAAACAGACGTTGTGACATCATTGTCTCAACCTCCCCATCCTCGGGAAGCCTGAGCACCCTTGGAGATCAATCCCACACTGCTCTAAGCCCATAATCCTGCCCAGCAAACCCACAGAGTCTTTAGGTACAGCTACATGCAGGTCCCTGCTCCTTGCACCCTCATTTCAGTGCTCTGGGATGGAGATTTTTGTTCTGAGTCTGTGCAGCAATTAATCCAACAAGGACTAAGCAAACTGAAGCAAGTCTCTTAAGTGCCCCAATGTACAAATGTTTGTTACCACATACCTGAATGCATAGATCCAGAATAGCCTCCCTCCTGCTGTGGTGCTCTCCAGCCTAGAATAAAGGTAATTTTAGCCACAATTACATAACCTGTGAAATTTGCTTATTTCAGGCTAAAATGGTACTGATATTGATTGGCTATGGTTTGACTACAATAGTTGTTTGGGGGGTTTTTTTTGCTCCATCCTAAATCACTATGAGCTCATAATCCTGTTGAAGATTCCCCTAACACACATTTATTATTTAAATCCTACAATATTTTCTAACACTGATGCAGTGACTTTCCTGTCTCTTCCCGCTGTTCAAAGGACAGAGAGCCACAGAGGTTCAAGGTCAGAGCAGCCCTTTATTTAGCAACAACCCTGAGGAGTTTATGTACCATTTTCAATAATGACTTGCAGCCTTTGTGCAGACATGAAGTTTTCACCGGCTTTTGCTTCAAGTTCATTTGTAGAAAAAAATGATGAAGTTACAAAAGAACAAATCTATTTTCAAAATTAAAAAATTTCCCAGGCAATCTAACTCCCTTCAGCTGTAAAGCAGATGACTTTTTGATTATGGTGGATGTGGCATTGCTCATGCCCACGTATCGAATCTTCGCACAGAGACACAGCCGCGAATAGGAAGGGGGCAAGGGAGTTTGGTATCAATGACCTGGCACACATCGACGTAGGGGTCAAAGAGGACCACAGTGGGCAGGGCACTGTTCCCCTTCCTCTGGCCAAGGAGATAAATTCGTCCATTCACAGTGCTGCAGCCCATGAAGAACTTCTGGGTCAAGCACTCCTCGTTCACCTGGGTCCATTCATCGGTCTCCACATCAAATCGAAAAGCTCCCCCTCCTATGGTGTACAGAGCCCCGTTCAGGGACGTGATGCAGAGGTCATACCTGGGAGGGAAGAAACTCTTGATCAGAATCAGCAGAAAGATCTGGCCCCTGAAATATTCAGTGTGATCGTGGTCCTCAAATGAAGAGTCCCATTTAAACAGAGAATCACAGAAGTGTTGCAGGGACAGGACTTCTGGATTTCTACTGTCCAACCTCTTCTTGAAGCAGGACCAACACTAGAACCTTTCTTCTTCTGCCAGGTCCCAGAATATTCTCTCTTACCTTGGAAGGGGGGAGAAGGAGATGACATCCCAGCTGTCCGTCTCTGTGTTCAGCCTTTGCACTCCATCATATACATGTCCGTTCTCATCCAGGCCACAGACCACATAGATCCTGGTTCCCACACTGACTGCATCACCCCTCTCCACAGGCTGGGCCATAGGACTCATGCTTTCCCACTCTGATTCCACCAAAGGCATGCGCTCCACTGCTGGGATTATCCCCTCGTCGGTGCTCCCTCCAAGCACGTACAGGTAGAGCCCTGCTCCCACTGCACAGTGGCTGTTGCGGGACTTCTTCATGGCTGGCCCTTCCAGCCACCTGTTGTCCAAGCAATTGTAGATGAGCACCCAATCCACACTGTACCACACAAACTCATCCCGGAAATACCCTCCTGTCACAAAAACGAAGCTCCCTGGAAAGAGAGCAGAGAAAAGCATCAGTCACATGAAAGCTAAAAATCACTCCTGAAAGCTGGGTCCTCATTTCTTCCTGGGCTGTAGTGGTGAGGTGCAAAATGAGCAGAGAAAATCACTGCTCTATCAATCAGTTTGCAGTATTTGATTCCTCATCCCCACAGATACACTGGGCCCATGGGATGCAGGGATTCCTTCCAAGCCTGCTCCCACTCTTGAACAGAATCAAGGAAACACTGGTTGGAAAGAACCTCTGGGTATCTCATTTCCAAACTCCCACCTGAAATGAGACTATCACTAACATAAAATAGGAAGCCATGGTATTGAACTGCCTTGGAATTCATCTCCAAGCATAGAGATTTCCTAACATCCATGGATCAGTTTAACTTAATGGCAACTGTAAATCAGAAGTTGCCTGACATTTGTCAAAACCACCACAAAAGACAGGGCCAAAAAAATAACACTCCTAAAGTCAAGTCCTTAGACTCACTGCAGATAAAGCCAATGTAAGGAGCTCAACAGACTCCATAGTTTCTGCTACATGAAAAGAAATATTCAGCCTTGTCTAGCATTCTCCCAGGACTAAGGAAAACAAAACCATTCTTTGAGCAAATACGAACACCAATAGGAATGAGGCTTCAGCAATGCTGAGCACAGCAGTTTTACAGCAGCAGCTGCACTCCCTGCAGCAGGGACTCTCTAACTGCTGTTTGCCTTTGCTCAGCCTCCCCTCTCTGTGAGTTACCTACTGCTGCCACTGCGTACTGGGTGAGGTTCCGGCGCTGCAGCGGAGAACAAGCCTGCCAGGTCCCTGTTTTAGGTTGAAAGAGAAATAATTCTTGCTGTTCCTTGTCATGCTTTCCTCCCAGGACATACAAGGTGTCATAGCTCCGACCAGCATAGGGACAGAGTTTCGGATTTTGCCAGCTGGGTGGAGGACAGCTGTCTAACTTCTTTATTAGTCTGGAAAAGATATCTGCCTCTCCACGGTGCTTGCTGCGTTTCACCAAGAGATCAAGGAAAGACAAACTCAGAAAAGCGACCCTGACTTCTCCCACCAAATCCAGAAATTCTTCCTCTCTCGTTGCTGGGTCCTCCGTTATCCACCTCATAACACTGTCAAAAACCACATCTTCTCGTGAAACGAAGAGGTCATCGCTTCTTAGGAGCTGCATCAGCATTTCTTTGGGTAGTGCCTTAAATTCCTCCTGGCACATCACATCCCCCCAGTGAGTGACAGCCACATTCATAGCAGACTCGTACAGCTCTGTAAAGGCAAATTGCTGTGAGTAGGTCATCAGGCCCAGGCAGTTGGAAACATGCAGCTCTCTCTCCAGAAATTTCTCACACAACAGTTTCACCCTGTCAAACTGGAAAAAATCAGCTGTTTCCAGCAAACTGGTCACATTTTCTTGACCTATAAGCACTTGGGCTGTGCGAGTGAACTCAAGTAGTGCCTGAAAAGGCACTGCATCGATCCCTTTGATCACTATGTGCTGCTCAGAGCTCTCTCTTGCCCCTCCAAAAAACATGGCTTCAAAGTACCGACTGTGCACGGAAAGCACCCTGCGGCTGACCTGAAACAGTCTCTCTCCAACCTCAAGAACTGTGTCTGCAATCATTTCTGTCCCAGGTCCCAGCTCCTGTGGCTCCTGTGAAGACTCCATGCTTGTGGACTGCCAGGCAGTTAAAATTAACTCAGTCTTTATGTGGCCCTTACTTATCTGAGGTCTCTGGAAACACTATCCCCCTAGCTAGAATAAATATGAGATAAGCCAATCTTCCCCTAAAAATAGAATGTTTTCTACTCTCCTGCTTTGCTCTTCAGTCTTTCCTGCTGCTTTCAGAACAGCAATAGCAGAACAGCTGTATAACCCAAAAACACAGATTTGACTGGCATCTCACTTCACCAGGTAAGACCATAGCGAAGCAGGGGGCTGTCAGCCAAGCAAAGAACCTGGAGAACACAGGAGAAACAACCACAAGCTTCCTAAGCACTGAGTAAATATCAGGAAGTTGTACAGAAACACTGAATCCATTTGGAAAAAAGCAACGATTACCACACCTTTCATCAGTTGAAGTTTAATGTCAAATTCCAGAGTGACTGCAGTTTTTGCTATGTATTTAACTTTATACTTTAGTAAGAGAGGAAGGGAAGGAGCCCCCATTCAAACCCAGACAGCTTCACATTTAGCCATCCTCAATCTGAATGCACTAAACAAACACAAAGGTGGGACAAGCAACAGCTCACTGATGCCATAGCAAATTTTTCCAAAGGTAAGTGGAGGCATTTGCCATGTGTAAAAAATGTCTTCTAGTCTGCATCACCCCCCTTTTAGCTTAAACCATTACCCCTTGTCCTATCACAACAGGCCTTGCTAAAATGTCTGTCCCCTATCATTTTCATGTTCTTCTTTGCAGGTACTTGACTCCCAAACATACCCTCAAAGTCTGCACTACAAAGAGAGCCATGCAGCTTGCAATGAAGCAACCTCTCAACTGAGCAGGAAATGCTGGAAACATGCACCTCTCCAGTTTACACCCCTGCCCCATGACTCCAGGCAGATCTCTCTACCCTGAGAGCCCAGAATTCCCTCCTGAGAGCCTCAGCAGGTCTGTCTCTACTGCTACACTCAGTGCAGAGCTAGTGCATGTCACTGGCTTCAACATCCAGAAATCTCTCTCCCACTTAGAAGGACAGTTCAAGGCCCTGCTCACACTGATGGAGAGCAGATTTTGATCCTACCTCTCTAAATAAGGACTCTCTTTTGAACTGTGCTATTGCATGAACAAGTTTTGCAGCATTAGAAAGTTATGTTGTGAGGAGCACTACTCTCCAGACAGTTCTGTGAGCCAAAGAATGAGCCTCCAGGAGATTAAAAACCAGCAGAACCCAAGTTCATACAGGCAGTATGCCACACACGACACCTGGTCCCTGGTTTCAGAGCCTCCTGGAAAAGTCAGATTCACTGAACTGGAATTTATGTCAGGTTCCCACCCATTTTGGAGCTGGCCCAGGAAAGGCTCTGAATGGGAGCAGTGCTGTGGCCAAAATAACAGTCAATGACACCTGTCCTTGGCACGTGTTCTTGACAACCTCTCAGGAGCAAAACCGCTGCTGCCACCAAAACAACTGACTCTGCCACAGCCTCCTCATAAAGGGTCCTCAGGACAAGCAGGTGGCAGGAGGTCACACACAGCCTGCAGGCACAAACCCTTGAGTGGGCAGTCTTTAAAATGCCTGACAGAGATGCACAAGTGTCCTCAGAAGAGGGACCAGATGCTCTCAGGCCCTTCCCATCGATTTCCTGCCTGAGTGGAGCATGGCTGCTGCTCTGGTCCCTCCTGATTCTGCTGTGTTTATGCACCTCCTGAACAAATGTCATTTAGATTTATGGCTGGAGAACTGTAATGCCAGCTGAAGTGCACTTTTACAGACTGAAAAACAGACATTTAGAAACAGATTCATTTGTATTTATTCACTCAAAACTCCTCAAATCTTGCATTTTCTGCAGTATAAAAGAAATAAAAATGTTTACTTACAAATCAAGTTATAACAAGCAGAACCATAAGTGGATAGCTACAATATAAAAATATGCAGTATTTCCAGCACTGCCTACAACTGAACATCAGAATTTTAAATATTCTTCCCCTAAAATTCCAAGTATCAAACAGATACTTCTATAAGGTTCAAGTTACTCAACCAACAATCATCCCACAGTTTAGTCCAGTCCTTCTGTAGGAATGTGTGAGCCAGCTGACACACAGATCACAGTGCACCAGATCTGGAACAAGTGCTGGAAAAGACCTTCTTGGCCACATCCCCTGCCAAGGTGGTAACACAGCACTAAACAAGGAAGGTAATTCCCTGCACTAAAGAGACTGAACTCAACAGCAGGAAGAATACAACACAGTGCTTCCCAGCTGAGTACTGATATCTAAGAGGAAGAAAAAAGTGTTTTGATGTATTCAGGTTTTAATTTAGATTAAATACAATTTGATGTATTTAAAAATATAACCAATATTTCGGGCATTTTTAACTAATTTTATGGGGTTTTTTCAAAACTCACAAGATCAAGAGGGTTTCAGACAATTCATGACAATTTGTTCTCTCCTGTCAGCTCTAAACAATGTAGTTACACACTCATTTGGGGCTGGTGGGGGAAACCAGAACTTAATTCTTGCATACCCCATCCTCACATCATTTATGGAAAGCCACAAAAACAAAAGCTGACTGTTTCTTCACACTAACAAATACACATTCAGACAGCCTCCCCAAAACAGGAAGCTTCTCACACACTGATAGTTTTCTCCAATGACTTGCACCCTTGAAGTCTTCAGAGACAATCCAAAGAAAGCATTAACCATCTTGTTGCTGAATGAAAGGGTTTGGAATAGCTTCCATTCCATCCTGTGGACAAATAAGAACCACAGAAGTCCCTCTGCACACCACGAGTCCCAGCTGACGTGTGTCTTCTGTTAATTTGAATTGATCATCCGGATCTGAAAAGCAAAGATCCACAGTTACAACAGCAGAACTAAGAAAAGGAAACCAAATTCCATCAGCTTCAAAAGGCACAGACATACATGCTTTTTCCAGGTGTCTCTGCATTGAACACATGGACTATGAGGCTCATGCAGCAGTAGTATCTGATGGCTTCAAGAAGTTACTGATTTACTAATTTTCAAAGCAGTACACACCACAGTGAGTAGTAAAGAACTTTGCTTTGTACACAACAAAAAAGCAGAATGCATTTATTAAAGTATTCAAAGGCCCTTTCATTCATCCAACCAATAGCATACATGCAAGTGATTAAAAAAAGCTCCTGGTCCCATTTCAAATATCATTTTAGATAAACATTTGGAGATCAATGCAAATCAGAAAGAGATCCTGACTTCAGAACACATTAGGGATGGAGAACACCGGTCCATTCTCAGACTGGGCCCAACAGGGCTGTGGATCAGGACAGACAAACACACATTACCCAGTCCTACTGCCTGTGACATGTCACTATAGCCAATAAAAATGCACTACACATCTTTTAAAACTCCCTTTTAAGAGCAAATCCAAAGCTTCAGGTGTTACCTTGAAAGCAGGCAAGAATACTCTTCAAAAGCACTGCCCCATCAACTGATACATTTTGTTTGAGGAGAGAGACACAGTGCTTTACTCAAGTTTTAGAGGACAAGAGCTGAAAACGAGACAACTACACAGGAGGTCAGTCAAGGACTACCAAGGATGTTCAACCACAGGGTAATCCATCTATCTTCAGTTTAGAGAGAAGGATGTTTGGGGACCGTGTCAAAGGCTTTACAGAAGTGCAGATAAATGACATCCATAGCCCTTCCCTTGTCCACTGATGGAGTCACTCCATCCCAGGAGGTTGCTGGGTTAGGCAGGACTTGCCCTTGGTGAAGCTGTGCTGGATGACTCGAATCACCTCCCTGTCTTCCACGTGCCTTAGCAGAGCTCCCGGGAGGATTTGCTCCATGATCTTCCCAGGCACAAAGTGAGGCTGATGGGTCAGTAGTTCCCAGGCTCCTCCTTTCTATCCTTTTGAAAAATGGGTGCAAAGTTTCTCTTTCCCATCACCTGGAACTTCACCTCACTGCCATGACTTTTCAAATGTCGCAGAGTGGCTTGGCAACTGCATCAGCCAATTCCCTCGGGTCCATCTCACCAGGTTCCACAGACCTGTCATCCCTTTCTTTACAATGTAGTTATCCTGAACATGCTGCAGAGTTTGGGTGATGCCAAGTTGCAGTTTCTGCTTATTCACTCACAGAGCCATAAGATTTCTGTTAAAAAACAAATCACTCAGGAAGGGAAGCTTTCCACAGATTGCATATTACTTACCTCGCATATACTCAATGGTACCATCCAGCACAAGATTCAGAAGAGGGTCAAATCCTTTCAACACACCACTTGCTATTGAAGACCACACAGAAAATGATTATTAGAGACCAAAACCAGGTATACGGTAACTCAAGACTTCACAAAAGGTACATTCCATTCTGCAGCACTGTTCCCTCCTTCAGTCAAGGCAAATGAGACCAGAGATACTAAAGAGTGCCCTCTATAGCAATGGTTAAGTGCACAGAACCTGGTCTGTGTTGTGCCAGCTGAAACTTAGACTCTTCAATTGATTCTTCAAAATGCTCTTTGAGACACTAAAATTTTTGTTTTCAGCCCATTTCAGGGGCATTTTAAGAATACTTCTGCATAACAAATCAATACAAGTCACATGAAGGAAAAAAAAAGCAACCCCAAAATCAAATAAATATCCTTAATGAAGGTTTATGATAAAAAATTAAGCAAGACCGTAACATTTTAAGTGCTTTCCTCTTCCAGATGCCCTCCCAGCACATTATCTCTTTAGCGTAAGCACTGCCTCACAGGAAGGCACTGCAGACAGACCAGCACTTTGTTCTAAAGCAGATCATGACTCTACAACACTGGTCACCAAATAAATCACAAAACTACACAGAGTGATCTTCCATTTTTAAAAATACACTTATCAGTAAGAAGTCCAAGTAACTTCCAAACCCTTATAAGCATCAGGTCCCAGTGGGGTTTAAAAACGGAGCAAGGGTTAGCTCAGACAAACAAGTGCCTGGGGGTAGCACTGACAGCTGCATGGGTTGTACTTCCCAGCTGCACAGCAAGGGACAACAGAGATACGGCGACATATACTGAACCATGAACTCCGGGCACGTTTAGCATGTTCAGGGATGAAAGGCAAGACTGAAAGGCAAGACAGCTGTATTGATCATTACAACCATAAACGTTTCTTTGCTTCTTTAAGTGTGCCCTTGCAATGCAAAAATCCTGCCAAAACAAGGCAGTTCAAGACAACCGATAAAAGAAGAGATGCACCGATGAGGCACAGAGATAAAAGTACAGCCAGGAGATCAATGGAAAAGTTAAAGGAGAAAAGCTTCCCAGCGGTAACTGCAAACAGCAATGAATAAAAGCACCCGCTATCCCTCTCCTTCCTCGAAGGGCAGCAGCGTGAGCTCTCAGGAGCTCTCCGGAGCGCAGAGCCGGGCGCGGGGCAGGCACAGGGCGAGGGGAAAGGCAACGCAGCTCCGAGCTGCAGCCACGCGCCGGGCTCACCTTCTCTCCCGCCCTGGAACTTCACCCGGATGGTCTTGTCGATGTACTTGGAGAGGTCCAAGATGCTCTCCTTCTTCTTCTTCTCCTTGTCCTACGGCAGAGGCACAAGCGCGGTTAAAGCCCTGCCCGGGGACACACAGCCCCGGGGCGCTGCTGCGGCGGGTGCCGCTGGGGCGGGAGGGCAGGGCGGGGGTGCGGGCACGGCACGGATCGATACGGCACGGCACAGCACCGCATGGATCGACACGATACAGCACGGCACGGCACGGATCGCTACGGTACGGCACAGCACCGCACGGCACGGTACGATATGGTATGGTATGGTATGGCACGATATGGCATGGCATGGTATGGTATGGCAAAGCCCCGAACTCGCCCCTGCGCACGCCGCCCTCACCGCCATCTTCCCCGCGCCGCCACCGCCGCCGCCGCCGCCGCCGCTCGCCATTTCATCCGGCGCCGCCAGAAGTGACGTTCCGCCCCGGCGGAGCCCGTTGGCGGCCCGGGCTGGCGGGGCGGGACGTCCGGGGCGGGCTCTGAGGACCCGGTGCGGAAGGGCCCGGGCCGGGCCAGGTCGGAACAAAGCGGCAGCGGCCCGGCATGGCGGCCCCGCTCCGCCTCTGGCTGCTCCTGCACCTCCTGCCGCAGGTCAGTGGCTGCGCCGCGCCGGGCGCTCCCCGGCCGAGGGCGGGAGCGGCCGCGGGCTCGGGCGGGCCCGGGCGGGCTGTGCGGACTGTCCGTGCCGTGCCGGGGCTGTGTCCGGGCTCGCCCGGAGGTGCCGCAGCCGCCGGGGCGGGCCCGGGGCCGCAGGAGGGCGGCGGAGCGAGGGCTGCGGGCCCGGCCCGCCGCAGTCTGGCGGCGTTTACAGATCCGCGTCTTTGGGCTTGGCTGGGACTTTTTTCTTCTCTCCGTGGTTAACAGCGTACTTCTCGTAGTTCTTTAAACCTCGGGTCCCCGTGGGCCCGGCCCAGCAGCCCCGGGAGGGGAGCGCAGCCCAGTCCAGCCGCAGGGACGGATCTGGGCTCGTCCCGACTGACAGGCTCGCTCTGAGGAAGCACCAGCAGAGAAGAAGGGGGATTTCTGCTGACCCTGTAGTCTGACCTGAGTCTTACGTTCTCATTACTTCAATATTAATTAGGTTTGAAGGATAAAATTTTAAGGGTGTGATGAGCTAAGCATGTAAACCTGATACAGGAGAGAGTGGATATTTAGCTATTGTATTAAATGGTATGTAACTTTTGTGTTTTAAATTCTACTGTTTTGTGTTCTAGAACATGTTGAAGTATCATTTAACGTGTCGTTTAGACTTCTTAAATCTTTATTAGGTATTTTGGAGGGTACTATATCTTCTTGAGTATTATCAGTGTAACATCTTAACATAGCAGTCTAATTTTTCCCTCTTCTGTGTCTGTCTGCATACTGATTCTTTGTAAGTGATCTTTAGTTACAGTGTGGTCTGGTTATCAGCTAACTTCTTTATTTCTGCATCGTCCCTTTTTTCCCTTCATCATCTTTTTCTGGTCATCCCTTTCTTATTCCCCTGTGCATTTTGTCATCTCCCTTGATGCTTTGTGTGGACTGGTAGTGCCAGCATAGGCCCCACAAATTAATAAAATGCAAGAATGGGTCAAAGACTGAGATGGAGTCATTTTGATCCATCATTTTGGAGAATGTGAGCACGTGGCAGTGCAGAAGGACAGCAAGTGAGATAGTCCACTGGTGGGCACTTGGAGATCTTGCCTTCAGCTCCACGCATTGCAGCACATTCCTTTCTGTAAGCGTTTGGTGTGTTTGTGCAGTGGTAGTGTTAACATGCTTGAGCAAGCTTGGGCAGACTGGCCAGGGTGCTGAAACAGTCCTGCTGCTGCAGTGAAAAATTAATGTTCCGTATGCTGCCAGTATGTTTCTGTTAGCCAAGCTGGCTCGTTTAAAATTTGTCTGAATACCTCATTTTGTGCAGTACTTCTGCATCTCTTGTGCTTGCATTTGCTGGGATGGTTTTGGGTAGCACATCCCCCTCAGCCTGAGGCAGAGAGCAGCGCTCTACTGCACTCCTGTCGTGATACCCCTGTGACCGATGGTAAGGGCTGTTCTGGGGGCAGAGCTGACAGCTCTCCTCATGGGGCTGCTGTGTGCCTTTCTGTGTACCAGCTGTACTCATTATCAATGGCTTACTCTTACCTTAGTTTGTTGGGTATATATCTTTGTCTCCTTCCTTGAGATAGGGTAATAGAACTTTCTGTTTGTTTGTTTTTCCATGGGGCAGGAGGAGGCGTTGTCCACATTTGCTTCTACACTCTGATTTAGGGAGAAGGACCAGCTTGGCTATTGAAGCATTGCTCTCCCAGATCTGGGTCCTCATTTGGGAACACCTGAAGAGGGGTGTGATCTTATAGATCCAAGTACAGTCTGCACTTACATCTTGCTTTGGTGTTCAAGTTCTCACATTTCGTTTACCTTCCTGTTCCTTCATGGCATTGCTACCTCTGAGTTGTCCTGTAAAAACAGCACATGTACATGAGCCTTTGACTAGTGACAAATACAGTAACATGATCTGCAGCGAGTGTGCTGGATCTCACTGGCCTTCACTGTAGCAGCTTTCAGCAGAATATTGGATTGTGGTGATGGTTTTGTATTTTAAGTCAGGGTACTCTATGATGTAGGTCCAAAGAGTTGAAAAGACTGCCTGAAATTCTGGATTGAGGTCGTGGTTGGCAGTTTATTCTCCTGGAATTGTTGCATTGTGAATATGTAGCTTTCTCCACTGCACAGGGTTTGTTGTTTGGTGGTTTTTTGTGTGCAAATTTACTGTCTGCTGTTGCTGGTCTCCAGATGAGTTGGTGCAGTTTATGGGACAGAATGACTCCAGCTCCTGGGAACTCTGACGTGGTACCTACCTTAGGAGTGGGGATTGCTCATTCTTTCCTTCTTCAGGGAACAAAGCTCCCAGCATCTGTCCAATCTCTCTGAGATTCAGGTGGCCAAGTCAGCTCATAGAGCTACTGAAAGTGGAAAAGGTGGATGGGGCATCCAGGTGAGTGTGGGGCCAGAGGCAGGGAGGGACAAACAAGGCAGAGCCACTGGGTTGGTGGCTCGGTCACTCCTAGTGCACTTTCTTGAAATACTGGTGAGCTGAATTCTTTATTTCTGCCTTCTTCCATCATGTACCTTGCAAGTCCCACTGCTTGTCTCTGAGCTACATTAGTTCACCAACATGACTGAAAAACTCACACAGCAAAAAGACTGGGGAGTATTCTGCTCATTTGTGCATTAAATTAACTGTGGAAGGACCTGATGAGATTCAGAGCCAACAAGCATGTCCTTCTAATGCCACAAACATTAGATTAGCTCAGCTGCCTGTTAAATTTTGCCTTGAAACTTTGTTTCTGTTGTGTCAAAACCTTTTCCAGTTTTTCAACTTTATAGAAAACAGTTTGTTTTATACTATTATACACTATTATGTGCTTTCTAAGCCACAGGACTGGTAAAAAGCAAGTATCATAATACACTGCTGTTGTCACAGCAGCTGTTATTTTTCTGTGTTTGAAAAAGGTTGGACTTGACATCCAAACACTTGGAAAAGAGCCCTTGGGGTTGTAGGGACATTGTATAGGATTTGCACAGGAGATGACATTTTTCTGCTGGGTTATCTATGATACGAAGTGATCTCTAGGAATTAAGAATCATCATAAATGTTGCCACCGTGCCACTGAATCAGCAGCATTGCTTTGAACTTCTGTTGTCTGATACCTAGTGACATGAATAAAAACAAAACTGGAAGCATCAAAGTGGATAAGAGCAAACTTGTAGTGGCTGTTAACAGACTTCAGAACTATGATTCTAAGTGATAATTGCCTTGTAAAGATGTCTGTTAATCCACATTCTCCAAGGGACTAAATTCTTCACAGAGTTTCTAAAACTCTTGTGCTTTTAGCCCTGCTCATATTGTCTTTAATTCCTTTCATGCTTGATTTTTACTTGGCTTTTGGCACACAAACCCACATAGCTTCTAAAATGTTTTCAGTGCTTCACATTAGGAACCTTTTACTCCCTTAATATTCCTTTAAAGAACATCCATTAAGTAGCTCAGAAAGCAAAACTGTGTATTAGTGTCTCCAGGGTGCCATTTGGGGATCATTCCTGAGTTCCAGTAATGGTTATCTCCATGTGGCAACACACCCTGTACTTACTCTCTTGTTTTAAAGATGTGGGGTTTGTATCTTATAGATGTAAAACTTTTAAGTGTCCAGGTTGATTGTTCCACAAATGCATAAAGCTGTCCAGTTGCAGGAGTTAGTTCCTGCAAAACTGCCTGAAGATTTTGGAGAGAGCTGTAATATTCAAAACTGAGCTATACCATGTTTTGTTTGCTTATCCAAGCTCAGTCAGTGTGACCTCCCATGCTTCAGGACAAATGTCATTGGTTCTAGAGCACTTAATGAACACTGATGTTGTAAAAAAAGGGGAAAAGTTGCTGCACGAGTTAGCAAAGGTCAGTTATATACAGAGAGCTAAATATAAAAATCTCTACCTCCTGTGTATTTTTACAATGGTGTTTCTTTACTGCTTTGCTGACATCTTGCAGCAGAATGCCATCACTGCCTCTGTGTGGGTGGTAAAACACTGGCACAGGTTGCCCAGAGCAGCTGTGGCTGCCCCATCCCTGGAAGTGCTCCAGGCCGGGTTGGATGGGGCTTGGAGCAACCTGGGCTAGTGGGACGTGTCCCTGTGCAGGGCAGGGGGTTTGGACCAGGCAACCTTTAAAGGTCCCTTCCAACCCAAACCATTCTATGGTTCTTGAAAGTGTTCCAAAAAGCATCTTTTTACCCTAGGGGTGCATGGTAACTTCTGTGTAGTGGGGTTTGAGATAGAGAGGGAGAAATAAGAGTGATGGATTCTTTTAATGGATTTTTGAACATGTGTGTTATGACATGACTTTGCTGCTGACTTCAGTCATCTTTAGTATCTTGTTCCTCAGATGCTACCTGGAGAAAGAGATGTGTAAGTTGTATTTTTAAGAGTGTAACTACATAATTATTGATTCATTGGTGTGTTTAGCTTATGAATGTTAAACTAGATGTTGACAGATTAGTCTGTCAGAACTTTCTCTCTAATTAGTAGCAGCAATGCTTAGGGATTTCTCTCCAGAAAAAGGTTTCATCAGTTCTGATAGGCACAAAGTGATTTCCTTGGGGAAAGCTGAATCAGAGCAATAGAGCAATTAAACGTCAATTATTTGAGTGTTGGGCAGGAGAAAGACAAGGAAGAATGGAAAGGGAGGAGTTGGGTGCATGGGTAGAGGGGAGTAGGACACAAACGGGGATGGTAGAAAGATAAGATAGTTGGGGAGGGTGGTTGGTTTGTTTGTTTTGAGGTTTTTTCAGGTTTTTTTCCCTGAACTCGCTGGTGGTGGTGAACTGCTGGTCTCTGCTCATCCTGTGTCCTGGGGTCACTACTGAATGGCAGTGTTCCACCAGAAACCGAGGGTGGCACTAGCTCAGGTCAATTATCGTACGTGCTTCAGAGATTTTATTCATGTTCACGCAAACTTCAAAGTGCTAAGTGCTAGTAAGGATTATTGAGTGTCCTCAGTTAAAATGTCGATAAAAGGGAGACATTTCCATTTACAATAGGAGACAAATGCTTTTGGAACACAGAAATGATAATAGGAAGAATCCAATTACATTAAGCAGTGTTTGATATTCCTAAGCACTGGATTCCCAAATCACTGGGCTAAAATAGTATTTTGAGACTGCTACAGTTAATATGTGGTCAGTTTTTTCCTGTCTAACAGCTCATGAGAAGTTAAAATACAGATATAATTTATGTTTGCTCTCAATATTGTCTTTTTATAATCTATTACCAGACAACACTACTTGAACATTGAAGTAGCTCTGTAAGAGCACTGTGAGGCTCTGAAGCAGCAATTGAAGATCAGCAAGACTCTCCTTCAAAAAGAAGCATTGATCTGAATTTGTATAACTGAATTACATTTAAAAAAAACCCAACACCCTCAAAATTTAGTTTTTGTCCTCCTTTCTGAGCATTTCTTTTGTATCTCAATTTCTTTTTGTCTGAATCATTAAAGGCTTTTTGCAGCAGCTGGTCAGATCTTACACTGAATTCTTAAGGTGTTGGTTCAAACCTGACCAGATGGTCACAGAATGCTCGTGAGCAGATTTGGTACCGAGGAACTGATGTTTGGTATTTTGTATGGAGTAAAGAGTTCTTAACTTACACTTTTTCAATGAGTGGAGATGGTGCCTGACATTCCTCCCAAGACACAGCCTGCAATCCCAGTGTTGCTGCCCCAGGAGCACAGAAGTGTCCCATGGAACTTAATGGTGGCTCGGCTGGTGTTAAAATGACAGTCTGAATGCCTTCTTGTTCCAGCCAGGACAAGAGCCTCTTGTCAGAGGGAGAAGCATCACAAGGGACCCGTTTGTCATTTAGAAATGGGCAGCAGGATTTGTTTCAGAGTCCTTAGAATAGTAAGAATCTTCTGTTTTTCTTAAAAAAAATACAAAGCAGGCCAGTCAACAGCAAGTTGTGCCCCTCACTTCTGCTACTTTATGTGACTTAAAATTCTTGTGGTGACATTTTTGTTATGTTTTCAGGTGTACTGTGAGTATGGGATGGTACATGTCCTTTCAGAGAAGGGGAGCAGCAAAGGAAAGGACTACTGTATCCTCTTCAACTCTCAGTGGGCCCATTTGCCACATGATCTGGGTAAAGCTGTAAGTACCTAGCTAAGTAATGACTGAAGAATGCATTAAAAAATGCCATTGTTTCAAGGAAACTTGTAATTTCTTAGGTGAATTAGTAGAATTTGAAGCAACTGCTTTGTTTGCTCTACTTAAAAAATGTTTTTATCTGTTAAGATCACTCTAGGCAGTACTAAGATGGCAATATTCATTTCCAGGCAGTGTGCAGAGGTAATGACTCTTACTGGTTCAGAACAAAAATCTTCCAACAATGTGATCATTGAAATGAAAATGAGGCATATAGCTATGGAAAGAAGTTTTGGTATATCAGCATGATAGGATACCACATGGCTTTGTTAATATAGTGAACCGTGAGCTTTAGTGCTTTCTTAGTGATTCATAGTTTTGTCAAGTGTAAGATTAAGTAGTCACAAACTGTGCATTATCCAAATCTGTATGAGCTGACATTTGGGTCAGTTCTTTATTCTTTGAGAAGAACTTACTGTCACTGGATGATGAAATCAGCAAATGCACTCTGATGAGCTACTAATAGAGGAAGATGTAGCTGACTGATACTTGGTTCATTGTATTCCTTGATCTACCACTTGAGTGCCCCACAGAATTGTTAGTGTTCCTTATCAATGTATAGTCAAGTCTTAATTACTGGGCTGAGTTTATTGCAACTGCAGATTAGTCCCCAGATACATCAACAGCTGCCTTTGCCTTGTGTAGACCAAGCTGATAAACTCTTGCACTTGCCCTTGTTCTGTAATGTGAATCAGCACTTACATGACAGACTTGTATTTGTGAGGGTTGGGGACTGTACCATAAACACCTTGTTTCAATCGTTCTCATGCAAATTCACTGGAGATATATTTCAGTAGCTCTGCAGGAGCCAATCTAGCCCAGAATGGCTTGCAGAGACACTTCCCCATAATGGCCAGTCTTCGCAAGCGAAGATCCGGGGAAGGTCTTTACACCTTCCAGCCTGCGCATTGGATTTTTTAGGTGAGACACAGTGTGCGCGGAACTGAGCCCACCCTTTAATCCTAAGGTTCATCTGCCGGGGCCAGGCGAGCTTGGACGGTGGCAGCGAGGTCCTCAGGACGTAGGTGGGTTGCCTTTAAGGGCTAACGAGCCCCACCTTCCCGGGAGTGGCCCTGACCGGGAATCGAACCCGGGTCTCGGCGGTGATAGCGCCGCGCCTTTACCACTAGACCACCAGGGGCTCCACTACTTCCCCATACACTTGGGTTGTGTATGCTGTATCCCTTGCATATCTCTGTTGCCTTCCTCAGTTCTCTCTTGCTTTTCCCTTCTTTCCCATTCTCCCTCCTTCTCCTCCCATACTCCAGCAGTACAATTCATTAACTGAGGTGGTGCAGTGCACCAGCCTGAGCTCACTCTGCATTTGTGTTCTACTCTGATAGAGTGATAAGCTTACCTGAAACTTGGACAACCAGGAAGTGTGTGCAGAGACATTTTCCTGTCTCTAAAGCAGGAGTCAGGTTGGAGACAGCAGTTTTCTGAATAAACCTGGAGCTGCTGACAGCTTGGTGTGTACTTTCCCCTCCTAAAACAAGAGGGTCTGTTACACAGGTATTATTGTGTACCTGTGGATTTCTAATACAGAGTGTTCCATGTGTCAGTTTTTCAGTTTAAAATTTACTCTGACACTTCTCAAACAGCTCACCTCCAGTGAGGACTGTGACCTGCTTCTGTGAGCACAGCTCAGTTATTGGTAGATAATTGCGGTTTTCAGATGACTTGCAAATAGAACTGGGCAAAGATGCTGGTGATTGTTTAGATTTTGCAAGGAACAATTTGTGCCAGTGGTACTTCTAAAATGTTGAAGTGTCTTTGGGATGCTCCTGTTGAAACACATCAGACTGGATGTCTTTGGGTCTCAGGAGGACTAAAAACTAAGGAATTGGGGCAGGCCTGCAATATCTCTGGATCACATGCAGTGAGAGAAGCAGCCTAGAATCCAGTATTTTGGGATACAAAATCTCAGCTCACTGAACATGGTAGGTTTCAACGTGGAAATTTATTTTTGTTGCCTCTGCATTTGCACTTTCTCCCAGGCTGTGTTTCAATTTCTAGCTGTTCATACCCTTCATCATCCCAGCCTGCCACTCTGCCACCCCAGCAGTGGGAACACTTTGCTGTACTCATCCCACATCTTGGTTGCATGTGGCAGAACAGCAGTGGTGCTGAAGAAACAAATGCAAGTGCAGATCATAACCCAAATTTTATTACCAGTAGAATTCTGCACAATAAGGTGAAGCAAGGCAGGATAATAGACATAACAGAGAGGGCAGCACTGTTTGGTGTTTCTCTGAGAATACTCATGTCACTCCATTACTTTAAAGTTTTGAATTACTCTTTAGAAACTCTGTGGTTCCTGCTCTTATTTTATAATTTTATGTCAAATGTGTTTAACTAATTTTTTTTCAGTCACTTTTGCAACTTCAGGATCAGACAGGATCTGTTTTGTGTTCTCCTTCTGATGTACCTGATGGGGGATTTAATAATCAAATCCCCATGGTGATGCGAGGAAATTGCACCTTCTATGAGAAAGTGAGGCTTGCTCAGATAAATGGAGCTCGTGGGCTGCTGATTGTTAGTAGAGAGAGACTGGTAAGTCTCTTTTTATCTTTCTGTGTTGCTGATACTCCTCTGATGTTAGGTATTGTCTTGTCTTCAGTGCACATTGCTGGGATTTAATGCTCCTCTTTAAAATAAATAATGTGTGTGTATTCTGCCTGTGTGTACATTGCATAATTATGTCTGGGAATCATCCATCTGAAGGAATAATGAATGAAACAACAAGAGGCACTCACTTAAGTAGGAGGAGTCTGCACAGAGCTCATATGATATTCAAGTCAAGAGCTCAGTATTACTGTTATTCCATGTGAAATACTGGAAACAAAGGAGGAGGTTGGTTTCTTGACTATTGTCCTACCACACTGAATCTAGTGCTTTAGATTCAGCTGGAGCATCATCACCAACATGTGTTTTGTAAAATTAGTAGTTTTGAAAATAAAATTAGTAGGTTTGAGTACAATCAGTTCTAGAGGCACACATCAGCTGTGAACCCATGACCCTGATGTGCAAAAGGTACTGCTTGAATTTTGGTTGCTGCATTTTGCTGTTACAATCTTTAATGACTTCTCTTTTACTGGGAACAGTCATACATTTTGACTTTGAGTTTTTGCTGTCATTATGTTCCTTTCTAGAACATTTTTCAAATTGGCAGAAACAGACCTTGCAACTTTAACCCTTTCTAAGCAGTAGAAGTATTTGCAGAAATAAATATATTCTTACCTCCTCTGAACTGTCTTTCAGGTTCCTCCTGGGGGTAACAGGAGTCAGTATGAAGAGATTGATATTCCTGTGGCTCTGCTCAGCTATAGTGACATGTTAGATATTGGCAAGGTAAACTTGACACTAAATGCTCTCATTTATATTATTTAATGTAAGAGATAATATTATCTCATGTAGGAAGCTGTACTCATGAAGATTGCATTTTTGGGTTTTGAAAAAAACACAGATCTCTTGGGAGGTTATTTCTCATCTTTGGAATAAAATCGGAATAGAGCCTGGTGCTGGAAATAAATATCACTAATAGTTGAGCCAATAGATTAGTCTTAAGTGTTTATAATAAAGCCTGATTCTGAGCCTGCTTAGTGAAAATTAAATAAGTGAACCTTTGCTAAGGTAGCTTTTTGGATGTCCTTCATAACTCATATTTGCCTCCCCAGAGTTTTGGCAGCTCAGTGAAAGGGGCAATGTATGCACCAAATGAGCCTGTGCTGGACTACAACATGGTGATTATCTTTGTCATGGCTGTGGGGACTGTTGCAATTGGAGGCTACTGGGCAGGAAGCAGAGATGTGAAAAAGTGAGTAACTGGAGTTCAGTATGTCAGTTTTCTTGTATTTTTCATAGGAAAAAAAATTATGGTGGTTATGTAAAAATCCCCTGGCAGGTCTTCTAGTGAGGTTTAGAGACTGTCTGTGTAACCAGAAAGGGAAAATACTGAGGTGATGTTTGAAAGGCCCTGAGGTTCTATTGGCTTGGTCACTGTAGGAAATCATTACAGTATAAATTGCATGTACAGTGTTTTAGTATTTTGCCATGTCAAAAGGCCAAACATTTGAAAAGCTCAAAAGAAGAAAATTATAAAGTAACAGACTTTCTGTTGGGCTTTTGCAAAAATCCACCAGAAAAACATCTTGTAAAAAAACCCCAAACCTGCTTTTACTGGTATAATGCAAACCAAATTGATTAGATGGCTAACATGTGCTATGTTAGTTATGAATCTTTTAATGGAATTTTGTGGTTACTTTTTCCCAGTAAGGGGGGCTGGGGGAAGAGGTGATTGTGTTGTGCTTATTTCCGACATTGACATCACTTAAGGATTTCTTCCAAAGTCAGCAAAGTGTTCTGGGTTAATTTTCAGGATTCATTGAGTTCTTGGTGAATGAAAATAGCACTCAAGATAAACTAATGCAGCAGTTACTGGTTTGTGCATTGTGTTGTATCTGGTGTTCATACATCCATGGAAAACGTGCTGTTCCACTGACCTGAGTGGCAGTCAGAGCAGGCATTGGTGTTGTGACGTGTTTTCCAACCCCACGTATTTCTTACTGAAGATTCAGCTCCCTTGTGTATTTTGGTGCAGAAGGAATGTACTCACTGTGGCCACGTTACTCTTTCAGGAGGTACATGAAGCACAAACGTGATGATGGGACAGAGAAACATGACGATGAAACGGTGGATGTGACTCCAATAATGATCTGTGTGTTTGTAGTGATGTGCTGCTCAATGCTCGTCCTGCTCTATTTCTTCTATGACCACTTAGGTACTCTTAAAGTTGTGTTTGTATTGACACATTTTCAGTACTGCAAGGTTGTCATCATTTAAAGAGCATTTTGACTGTGAAAATAATTATGAAATTTCTGTCTTCTGTCAGAAGACAGAATATCATCCCAATATGATTTAAAACCCAGTAAGAAAACCCACTGAGTAGATTTCTACTTTTGGTGAGGCTGGATGAGGTGATCATAGAGCTTTTTTCAAACATTAAAGCCTATTAAGTAGATACAGACTTAGCATCTTCCACCTTTTATTCTTGTGTTCTCAAACCTATTCTTGTCTCTCTGTTATTGTTCAATTTGAAGTCAACTTACGGGATCCAGGATCAATTTTTGTATCTTTATAAAGATGATAAATTTCTCTTGATCATTTATTAAATTGTTTGACAAAAAAATGTGAGAGCCTAATGCACTGAAACTTCCAGCCTCATATTTCTGAGGAAGTAGTGAGATGTGCATCCCATCTGAATTAATTATTTTTGCTACTGAATGATTTTAAGAGTTCCCTTACAATGCTCCCATATACTCATAAAGAGAAGATAAACACTTCAGCATAGGTTGTCTTTTAGGCTTATGACTTACTTTAAGAATATTAGCCCAGAGGTTTTGATTTGTTGAAGTAGGTATTGCATAAAGTACACCTGAGTAAAAGGAGCCAGAATTAGATAGTTAAAGAGCATAAATCTAATCAAGAATTTACCTTTCCCTGTTTAAATGTTAGCCTTATTTCTCATTTAGGCTTATTGACTGTTCTTTATTCAGCCAGGGTATGAAAAAAAGAATCTCTGGCATTATCCAACTTGTACTTAGTACTTTTTTTTTCTCAGTCTATGTTATTATAGGAATATTCTGCCTGGCTGCCTCAATTGGTCTCTACAGTTGTCTGTCTCCCTTTGTAAGAAGATTCCCCTTGGGAAAGTGTAGGTATGTGGCAACTTCTACATTTTTAGTAGATAAACTTAGTTTTTTATACTGTTTGGTAGGTGTGGGATTTACAAGGTGGCTTCATACTTCAAAATGTTTTTAAAGAAAGAGGGCAACTACACAGACAGCTGTAGCTTTTGTGTGCTTTGTTTGCAGGATCCCAGACAACAACTTGCCTTATTTTCACAAGCGCCCCCAGGTCCGGATGTTGCTCTTGGCAATATTTTGTATCTCTGTCAGCGTGGTCTGGGGAATCTTCAGAAATGAAGATCAGTAAGTGTACATTTTATTTTCTGTACTAAAAACTGTGATCTGCTTTATAGTATAAGTAACTGACATCTATAGGAGCTTAAATGTATCCAGAATTTAGGAGTGACAGGTTGAAATTCTTAGTTGTTCCTTATATACTTCATCTTTTTCTTGTTGGTTTAATTGCAGAAAACTGTCTCTTCTTACATTTAGTTTCTCTGAGTCCCAGTCAGTATTCTGAGTTCTTTGACTTAAGACAGCTTCTCAGAAGTGGGATGGAAAGTTGGACACAAGTTGTCTAACCTATTTCTTCATGAGAACAAGAACTGGGAAGATTGTAAGATCTTTAGTTTCTTTCAGCTCTCTGGTATTAGTCAGTAATTCTCTACATCCAGTGTTGCTGCTGTACCTAACTGTAGCACGTGCTTAGCACTTTTGTCAGAGGTGGGTATTTTATGGTGTGTTGTGGTTTGGTTTTGGTTTGGGGTTTTTTACCTCTTACCTCACTCCCAGATGCTCCAGTTTCCCCATACATACAGAATGTGTTCATCTTCTTGGTTCTTCTCTCAGGGATTCAGTGTTGGAACTGAAACACTGGCTTGTGTTTCTGCTTGTGTTTCTGCTGGTGATACCAAAGGTGTCTGGCCTGTGCCCTGAATGCCATTTGTGCAGTCCATGCTGTGTGTGGATCATTCAGTGACACAACTCAGATCCAAGAAGCTTCAACTCTGAAACACCTTTTAGAGAGAAAAGTGTCAGAGCACAGAAGTGCTATCGAGATATTTCAACCTGCGATATTTAGGATTAGGAAATCCATTTTCTGCCTCAAAGCTGGAGTGGACCTGAGTGTCTCCTGCACAAACCTCCATCAGCAAGTGCACAGGGATTGATCACAACAGCATAATCTCTCATCTGCACATAGACCCTAGCCATTTGAGGGGAAGCCTTAGTGTTAGCTCAGATCCTGCTTCTCTTTGACCCTAACAGTCGAGAGTAAAGCAAAGAGCACTTCTGTACTGCAAAGTACTATCAAAAACCAGCCCCAACTGTAGATTTGCCTCCGCACACAAGAGTGCTGAGGCCCCAGCACTTCCTGTTTTGGTATCCAATGACCTCATTAGACCAGTTTTCAATCCACTTCACTGCTCATTCAGCTTGTACTTCATCAGTTTCTCCATGAGGATCTTATGGAAGATTCTCAGTGGAAATCTTTATTGAAGTCTAGATAGACAGCATCCCACCCACCTTCCCTCATCTCCCAGGCATTTCTGTGTGGAATATTATCAGGTCGATCAAGCACAACTTCCCATTTGCAAATCCATGCTGATAACAATGTTGATTTCCAGCAACTACTTTGAATAAAGTTCTTTTTTGTCCCAAGCAGGTCCTTAGTGAGGACAAGGCTTGGTCTGCCTTTCCTACTGTTTCCTGCAAAAATGTTGCTCTCCTCTTTTTAAGGTGGGCCTGGGTTCTGCAAGATGCTTTAGGAATTGCTTTCTGTCTTTACATGTTGAAAACAATTCGCCTGCCTACATTTAAGGTATGAAAGTTAAACAGATGTAAAGAGAGGATATTTGCATATATGTAGTTGAACAGAGCAGTCACTTGTAATTGGCTTGGAAATGCACTTAACATCCATATGCAGCTTGGAAAAGAGGGATGTAATGAATATAATATATGCAATGAATATAATGTAGAGCAATAATTGACACGTGATTGTTCTGTAGTGTTGACTAGTAAATCACACATCACCATCTGGGGATTTAGTTTTGATGGGGGGGGGTGCTTGTTTGTTTTTATTGGTTTGATTTTGTTTGTTTTCAAATTGACACAAAATTAATGCATCATTCTGGTGGTTTTGTTTAAAATCTTCCCAAACTTTTGTCTTTCCTAAGAAAAAATCAGTATTAGTCATTTAACTGCCCCTTAAGCAGCTCTTCAAACTCTGCTTCAAGGTATCTTCACCTCTAAATTTGTATAGACTGGCAGCATATAGGTGGATAGTGTTTCAAGCTGTGCCCAGCATCCTCCAGTGCAGAACTCCTTCCTATTTCCTAGCAAGCTGAAATGGCACCATTTGCAGATTTTACAGGATAAAGAATTTTAGGGACTAAAATGTAATTTTGTGTCCAAGAATTACTTTCTTTTATATGGTGCATGCAAGATCCAATTCCTCCACCTAAAACATTCAGGAATTAAGAAAAATATATGGGTGACTTGTTTTAGTCTTTGTTAGCTTTTTCCTCGAGTAATCTGCTAATTATTAATTCTTTGCTGTTTATTAGTGCATAGTGTGTAAATACCAAGTATCTTGTCTGCTCCTTCAGGGTTGTACCTTGCTCCTCCTGGTTCTCTTTGTGTACGATGTATTCTTTGTATTTATCACACCTTTTTTAACAAAGGTAAGTAAAATAATTCTGTACTGCCTGCTGCCCACAGAGCAAAGTGTAATGACTTGTTGAAATGCTGATTAACAATTTTCCCCTTTTTAATTTAGACTGGGGAGAGTATAATGGTGGAGGTGGCTGCGGGCCCATCGGATTCTGCCACTCACGAGAAGGTACTGGATGTAGTCTAAAAATCTTACTGGATGTAGTCTAAAAATCTAAAAGTCTAAGTCTAAAAACTTAACTTCCAACTATTACACCTTTAACTTTTCTAAAATTTGAAGACCAGAAAGCTGAAATGGAGGTGCCAGTCTGAAAAGAACTTAATGTGGGAATAAGTGCTCCTGAGCACTTATTCTGGGGGCCAAGGCAGACTTGTGGTGCATCATCACACCAGCTTTGGTTTTCCTTTCTCTTTCTTTAAGAGGCTTTCAGTATAAAGAAGCTGTTTAGCTCAGCTTCACAAAAACTTGGCCACATCTGTAAATATTAACGTACTGCTAATTAAGCATAAGCATTTTTTCCTAAAGAGATGAAACACAGTGGTTGTCTCTTCTCCTTCCCTCCCTGTTTTGACAATTGCTTTGTGAAAAGCTGAGGCTGTAGATAAAGGAGAGAAACACAAATTGGAGACATTAAACAGAGGTGTGTGTTCAGTGGTTTTGCACTGTTGGACAGCAGCCAGCTGAGCTGCATGAGCACCTGTACGATGAGATGTAGCTGACTCGGGGAGCAAAGTATTTGAGATGGAGGAGATAGTGAGGTACACGGAGCAAAAGAAGAAATTAGTCTGTAGGAAACCCTGGTTTTGTTAACTGAAGGATGTTGGGTCTCTTTTCAGCAATGACTGTAATAATGTCACATGGAAAATAGCAAAGAAAATAGTTGTTTGCAGGATGTGGATCAATCCATACAGTCCATACGAATTTCTTTGACTTCTTCTGTTCTTCTTTCTTGTACATCTTTAGTACCCCTTTAGTTTCAACTTTATGCACAGAATGAATTGTATAAAACAGTAATGAAAGTATAAATAGATAAGATTATTTTGGCACTAATATAAGAAACGAAATAATAAAATAAAGTTTCTTTAATGTGCTGTAATAAAGAGAATGCAGGTTTACAATGAACCTTGGCATACTGTGCCTGAACATTGCAAATTGTGTAATAAATAGGAATAAATTGTGCAATAAATAACTGGGGGCGAGGGAAAAGTCTTTAAAGTGATTTGGAGAATTTGCTTTTTAAAATTATTCATGTCTTTGCTCTTTTGAGACTTTTATTGCAACCTGATGAATTAACTGTATAAATGGTTATTTCTTATGCATGGAGCAGCTTACCTAAACTTTTTACATTTGTGCAGTTAAAGCAGAGTTGATACCCTATTGCATGTGAGGATTTTGAAATTAATATAGTGTACTTCATCACTCCTGTCTTACACATTTTGTTAGATGTTAGATGTTTTGTTAGATATTGTATGTAATGCGAATGTGAAAAAAGATACATTTGCTGTATTTGAAGCCTGCAGTTTGAGTACAACAGGAACAAGTTCTGGAAGGAAGTGCCACTAAATAGAGAAAATGGCTTTTTATCAGAACTGTGTCTCTCTCTTTCTAAGCTCCCAATGGTCCTGAAGGTTCCACGACTGAATTCCTCACCATTGGCTCTGTGTGACAGGCCTTTTTCTCTGCTAGGATTTGGAGACATTTTAGTTCCAGGTATTGTTTAGCAGGTTAAGCATTTTACTTGTTACACTGTCATATTAGTTTATTCCTCTTGTATTTCTGACTCAAGTGGAAAGTTTGATCTATTATAAACCTGATAAATTTGTAAATATAGCTTCTTTTTTTTTCCTGCACTATTCACCTTCTCAGTAAGAAATTAGACTAATTTTATGGTTCAGTTTCACATGCAGTGATGTCAAGAAATGTAGAGAAATTGCAAGAGTTGATTTAGCAACTGGTTTTATACTATAAAACATCTTTAATAGTCTGGTGATAGAGGAAATTATTTGTCCATTTGCACATGGTTTGAGTACACACCTCTGACCACTCAAACCTTTCTAATTTTGTTAGTGGTACTACATCCAGTGTTTCTACCACACCTTCTCTGAAATATTTCAGATAGTGTGCAGAAGAATGCCTGGCATCACTGCAGGTGAAAACAAGTATGCACCTTCTGGCTTTCAGATTTCTTCTGGGAAATCAATTGTTTATTTTCTTGTATTTTGGGAAATATAATGAACAAAATCTTGTTGTGAACACTGTATTTCTACAACTGTTTAGTAAGGATCAGATGATGTTTTCTATCTATGATCTATGTATTTGAAGCTGTTAATTTTACTATTGGAGTGCTTTTGTTGTACTGGGCTTGTGCTGTCATATAACTGCTTTGTAAGTTGTGCAGTCTCCTGAATGGTGCTGTCATGGTGTTTAAACATAAGGTTCCAAGGAGGTGTTGGGGGAAAAAATTCCTAAAAGTTCCTAGCTGGTTTGATGATTTTGATGATTTTGTGACTAGGTTGAAAGCATGTTTAACTGTTCTTTCCTTTCCTAGGCTTACTGGTAGCCTATTGCCATAGATTTGATATTCAGGTGCAGTCATCCAGAGTCTATTTTGTAGCCTGCACAATAGGTATGTACCACAGTGACACCTGAATGCAAGACCTACAGGAGTTGCTCCCTCTTGAAAGCATGTCCTCAGTCTTGCATGGCATAGTTTTATCCTTCTCCTCCTTTTATTATTAAACAGAAATATTTTAGCAAAGTGCTTCCAAGGCTGGATCTTCCATCACAAAAGCAACTGATGTGGCTTTCCTGAGCTGTTTTGTTTGCCATATGTAGGGGGAGCTTTTGTTACCATGGCTCCAAAGGGTCTCTCTAGAACCCCTGCAGCCACACTGTCTTTGCATGTGCTCATCTCTCCTCATTCTGGTTTCTTGAGTCATGAATCTTTTGAGTTTATGGTGTGTGAGAATTCAGGTTCAGGGATATCGTCCTCTGTTCTTAATTTTCTGTGTATTCTGAAAACCCATGACCTGTGATGCAGGGAATTGTGTTATGGTGACTATAACATGTCTATATTAGGTTTTTTCCTTAGTTTGTAGAATCCACAGAGTTACATGCCGTGGATGTAAATACAACTGATGAATAGGATCTGACAGGTTCCTCTTGGCTTTCTTACAGTGTACTTTTGCCAGCAAAGACTTCCAATGCTTGCAGTTAATGTTGTGAAAAATGTTCATGAACAACTGCTGTAGAAATTCTTTTGAAAAAATACCTAGGTTCATGGAGACTTCTAGCAGGGTTAGAGATGTTTTTATTTCAATGTTCCAAGTAATCTCCTCTCATAAACTGTTGTCTTACCTGGTATTTTCAAAATGCATTTGCAGAAAACGATAGAAAATGTTGTATTGCCAAAGAGTCAGCAGTGTGCTGTTGAAGCTCTGAAAACCAGCCACACAGGGCTGAGTTAGCAAGAGGGAGTCATCACTTGTGAGAGAAATGATTATTCCTCTCAATTTGTTATTTAAGACTGAATCTTAACCAGGATCCCTGGTGCCAGACAGACAGTGACATACTGGAGTAAATCCAGTGGAGACCATCAAGAGGGCTGGAGCACATGCTTGTAAAAGAAGAGAAGGCAAAAAAAGAAGAGATTCTGTTGCTGTCCCACAACTGCCTAATGGGAGGCTGCAGAGAGGACAGAGAGACTTTTCTCACAGGTGTGCAGATGAGATGTGAGGCAATGGACTTAAGTCACAATAAGAAATATTTTAACTAGATATAAGGAACTCTCAATAGTAACAGAATGTGCTCTGAAAAAAACATTTTGAAGAACTGTAAAGAGTTACTGAGTATTCTAATCACAGAATCATTTAGGTTGGAACAGCTCTCTAAGATCAAGTCCAGTTGTTAACCCAGCACTACCAAGGCCACCTCTAACCATGTCCCCAAGTGCCACATCTACACAACTTCTAAATCCCTGCAGGGATAGTGACTCCACCACTGCCCTGGCCAGCCTTGCCAGGGCTGCTCAACCCTTTTGGGGAGGGAATTCTGGCTAATATCCAACCTGGCCTCCCCTGGCACAGCTGGAGGCCATTCCCTCTTCTCCTGTCCCTTGTTCCCTGGGAGCAGAGCCCGACCCTCCCCAGATCCCCCCTCCCAAGCCTCCTTTTCTCCAGGCTGAGCCCCCCCCAGCTTCCTCAGCTGCTCCTCATCAAACTTGTGCTCCAGACCCATCCCCAGCTCCGTTGCCCTTCTCTGGACATGCTCCAGCCCCTCAATGTCTTTCTTCACCTGTTTTCTGAATAAAAATCAGTTGGATTAACTTCAATGTCTTGAAAACATAATTGAAAATAATTATAATATGAGATCCACACTGCTTCTGTTCTACTAAATAAATTTTGCCACATTTATGCAGAAATTAAATAGAAAGTAATAAAAAGTTATAACATACAGCTTGCTGGTTTTTTTTTATTTTAGCTTTCTGGCAGGATAGTAAAGCCAACCCAAAAAAGAAGCACGTAATCATGGTCAAAATATTTGTCTCTATCTGCTGAATTCATAAATGCAATATGAGGTGCAATACTTCATTTGTTTATTTTTGCTTAAGGCAATGTTTTAAGTGCGCAATATGAACTAGGCCACACTACTTTCACAACATGTTGTTATCAATAGAAAGACTGTAGTACTCCAGGTTTGCATCCTGTAAATAATGCTTCTCTCTAAAGAGCCCTGAAAAAAAATATTACTTGACGAAAGTTAATGTGAGAATGCTCCTCTAGCTAATTATTTAGTTGTGCTTGAGCAAAGCTATATCTGAATAACTGTTCGTTGCTGGGTTTGTTTTCTTCCAGCATATGGCATAGGCCTTCTTGTGACCTTTGTTGCCTTGGCACTGATGCAGATGGGCCAGCCTGCTCTCCTCTACCTGGTGCCCTGCACTCTCCTCACCAGCTTCGCAGTGGCCCTTTGGAGAAGGGAGCTGGCCATGTTCTGGACGGGCAGCGGCTTTGCGGTGAATACCAGTTTGATATGAGTGTCTTCAGGAAATGCTAATATTATAAAAACCTAACTAGAATTAAAGTTGAGTAAAGTATTGCAGTCTTATCACACAAACACAAAGATTTGGGGTTTGCTCGACTGGTTGCTTTTTTACATACTTTTGTGATGTTTATGGCCTCGTAAATCTGGCTGGTGAAAAGTAAAGTAGACCTTGTCTACCCTTCTTGATTCTACCATAATTTTACTTGTTTGATCTCTGTTGAAAGTATCACTAGTACTCAAAGTTTACAGTATAATATAAAATATAACAGGTTTTAATACTATATAAAACATATCTTGGATATTTTTTTCATAGCCTACTGTTATGAAGGTAGAAGTGTAGTTCAGTATAGTAAATTATCACTTTGTTTCACTGTGAAATTAACTTGATTCAGAAAGGAATTATTTCTATCTATCGCGATGCATGATTTTAGTTTTTGAATAATTACTTGAAGGCCAAATCTATTGAGCTAGCGGTTCACCCAGGGAGTTTTACTTTGTTATTCAACTGTTTGTGATAACCTTCACAATGTTCCTCTAGAGAACTGAATTTAATTGTTGGAGAAATATTTGAGATCACCTGAAGTGTTATGGCAAAGTTGCCAGTTCTTTATCACTGATAGTAAAGGTGGGCAGAACCAGAGTGGCCAAGGACCAAGTGCTGTTTGCCTGTTGCTGCCTAATCAGCAGAGCACTTCTAAAACTGGTGAGGAACTGAGGAATCAGGCAGAAAGCAAACACTTTCCTGAAAAGAAAAAATCCCCTGGTGTCCTGTAAAACCCAAAGGATAATTGTGTGCATGTGCCCACTACTGGAGAATGATAACAGAAATGATGGACTTCTAATCTTCAGGATCTTGTATGACCATCACTTCTGATAACTGGACAAAACAGTTCTTGCTTTCCATCATTCTGACAGTGATCTTCCATTTACAGAAGGACCTACCTCAGCCTCCTGTGGTGATAGCCCCTGTCAACTGCCCTGAGCTTCCCAAAGACAGCAGCGTAGCAGCCCCTCAGCAAGAGGCAGAGCAGATGACCAATCCCACCCTGCACGTGAAGGAACCGCCTGGCCCCGGCTCGGCTGAAGAGGAGCTGGCTGACACCACACAGACAGGCCAGTCAGGAATCTCTGTTGCACAGAGTGAGGAACCAACTGCTCAGAATAAGGACAACCTTGAAAGCAAATGCCTAAATGCAGAGCAAAGCCAGGTGGAATAAGTGATGTGATAAGAACTCCTTACTTTCCCTCACAAACATATCCATATAAAACCAGTATGTATTTAGGACTGGTTTAGTAGGGTTTGCATTCATTGAGGAACCTCGCTGGGAGTCTGATCATCAAATCCAACAAGGAATGTTCTGCCTCCAGCTTCGGTACAGCTACACACTTTAAACATCCTTCTGAAATATGGTGCTCTCCAGGAGTTCTGATGTGTGGGTTTCAATGATCACTTTGGTAGTGGATGCCTTTGACCATCTGTTCCATTTGCATTATACTGGGGTAGCATTAAGAGTCTTTATTTACCCAGTGCTCTGTGCTTGTGTGGTTGTTTTGCTGCTGTAGCATGGTATGGGTTACCATGGAGGAACAGCATTGAACAAATCTGCTGCAATGCTTAGCTGAGAGAAACGTGGTCTTTTTTTTTTTTCAGCACTTTCCTTATTGCCACCTTTTACTTTACTTCTCCTGACTTGTCAAAGCCATTGATATAAGGGAATGCTTCAGTATAAACTGACATTCAGGAAATGCAGAGGATGGTTAAATTACCATTACTCTGAAAGGATTTACACTACCGTGGTGCATTTAATGCATCTCTTTTGTTTTTACTTTGTTGTTAGTTACCTGGGCTGGTTACTAGTCTAGTTTAAAAGGCAGGATGAGTGGAGCTCCAGGAAGCTTTCTAGTCATTCATGTGAACTCTAAGGGCTGTCTCTGATAATAAACAAGGTTGGTCACAGAATGCTGCTTGGAAGCAAATGCATCTTAAGAATGTTTTAGAAATAAAATACAAGCCAAATAGGTAAGAAAATAGGTAGTAATGCTATACTAAGCTTAACGGGCAGTAGTTTCATTGGGAAAATGTTAAAGCAGTAAAAGTTCATGTGTTTTGGGGGCTTTGAGCTTCTATTTGTTGTTCATTCAAGGACTATAATTGTGATTTCTAAATAGTCTGTTTTTCTCATTCCCAAGGGAGCACATATGGTGCTACAGACAGTTGTGATTTAAAGGTACTTGCTGCTCAGTAACTTACCAGCTGCCTAAGTCATGTTTGGTCTTTGTCCCAGGAGTAGACAAAGCACGGCCTGTCAGGTTCTGGAATGAGCCTGGGATCTTTCCTGTTATTTTGCATGTCTTGCTACATGACATTGTGAAGGACTAAATTTGTCAATTTAAAAATTTTTGGGGTGCAGCTGGTCTTTATATTCCTGAAACTGTGTGTTTGAGTCTCTAATGCATCAACTTTTATACATAGAAGGATGATGTGATTTGCATATTACTTGTTCCATATAATTGTCTTAATCAAAGGTGTCTGTTCTACACTTAAATTGCAATTCCAGAAAGCCTCGAACACTTCATATGAAAACTGAAATAGAAATCGAGGTATTATAGGATCCTCAAATATGATTCCAGATTGCATGGAAGAAATGCTTCTCAGAGGATTTGAGAGCCAAAAAAATGTCATTTACATAAGTATTGTCACAGTGATGCAATCAGAGGCATTGCTTTGAAATTAAAAAGAGTCTCCAGTTGGCTTGTTGAGTTGCAGTTCAAGGGCTTATTTTTCATGTCTGTCTATTAAATATCAGCCACTGTTTTTTTGGCTGTGTCTTCCAAAAGTTTGCCCTGTGTTTTTTGGGTGATAACTTCTGTGGGCAGTGGAATTCTTAGGATGTGAGTGGCTTTCTGTAAAACCACACTGTGGCTTCAGAGTTTCACCAGCTCCTTCTTAAAGCCTCGAGCCTTGTCAGATAGGATGATTCAGAGTTTTTTGGGAGGCTTGCTGAGTCCAAGGGCCAGCACTGCATTTAATTTACAAATTGCCCTGATGGAAGGTAGTACTAAAGAGATCTGGTTTTCAATCTCCTCTGTAATGGACTGTTACTTGAGCCAGCAGTAATCTGATCCAATTATTACTAATAAAAAGCAGCAGAGAAATTTTACTGAAAACTTCAGTCAGTGGATTATGACTTAATTTTTAAGCCATTGTGTAAATATGTATATTAAATTAAGAAAACAATCTTGTATTTAAATAATGAACCTGACAAATAACAAGCAAACAAGTTGAAGTTGTATCGTTTTTGGCCTTGACTGTCTCTCAGTCATAAATTTGGAGTGGCTTTTCACATACTTAAAAGCCAGTAGCTTCCTGGTAATGAAGCATTAAGTTTTTGCAGCTACTTGAAAAGTGTATTTCAGCATTTGTTCTCCTGTTTTCCTGATTAGGAAATAGCTTATGTCTCAGATTGCTTGTAGCTCCATTCAAATGGCAGAACTGCTCACCCTGAACACGAGGGCGTTGCAGAGCTGTGTCCCTCGGTTCTGGACAGGAGGATCTGCTTCATCTCAGTTTTCGGGAACCTTCCAGCTATTTTTAAGTGTGACTTTTTTTTTCCCTGAACTACAAAGAATGGGGGGAAAAAACCCCAAACAGCAACTCAGTGTGGTGTCTCTAGTGAAAGCATGTGAAGTGGCAACAATTTACACACTGACTATCCTAGTACTGTACAGATCAGTGACCCTGGTGCTCCTGTTTGGCTGTGACTGTTCAGTCCTTGATCCTGGGCAGCTCAATTGCTTCCAGCAAAAGCCAAGGCTGTACTTTTTTGTCTTTCAAAAACCACCTTGTTCAGCTTAATTTAAAAATTAATGTTGTATAGGAAAATGTGAATATCAGTTCAGTGTGGCTAACTCTGATTTAATTTGATGATTGCAGATGTACATCCCCCACCAAACTAGAGTTTAAATATTTAAAGTAATGAAGGTAATATTAATGTTAAAAGTAATGTTGATGGGCTTCTTGTTTATGTGTTTCACATACTAAGTCTTTACTTATTTGTCTAGAAATTCAGTAAGGATTTTATTCCTGAGATCCTGTATGTGTTCGGGGGAACAAATCCCAACAACAACCAACTCCACTTTAAAAATCGTTTAATAAAAAACCTCAACTCTTTGGATCACAATAGTGAGGATCAGGTTCCTTCCTCGTGTTTGTTTTGGACTGTGCCCTTCTGAAGGGTTGTACAAATGCAGCTGAAGGTAGAATGGAACCTGAAAGACTTTACTGGGGGTGACAAATAAGGGAGAAGTATCCCAAGCCCTTTTTCAATTTTATCGATTTTTTTTTTCTTGTCACAAATTAAGACCATTTAAAATGAAATATATATAAAAAAAAGAAACAGAAAAAATGAGCCAAAAATACGCTGTTTTTACCAGTGGCAGTAAAAAAAGCATATCCACATATGTAATAATTACACTTGTGAAAATATTTAATGTTTTCTCTAAATTTGAACAGATGCCAGGCAACAGAAAATCTGCAGCACAGCCTGTTTTCTGAAAGGCTTTTTAACATTTCACAGAAAACTTTGTTGAGGAAACTGTTGGTTTCCAAATTTCTTGAATGTTTTTCATGAAGTCTTAGTCTCAGATAATCAGTCAAGCCTTTCCCCCAGTATGGCTTTTGTTAAGAATGTCTTGCAAGTCTTGGCAGTGTTTTGTAAGCACATTTCTGTGTCAACTTTGGTTTTTCCATCCCCCGTGCATTGCTCCAACCAGGATCAGGGGTATCGTGGTAGTGCCTGGTGACTTGTGAGTGTGCTGGAAGGTGGCATTGACTGCAGAGCCAGTGCTGAAATAGCTGCCTTGTGAGCCTGCAGAATGTGGCTGCAGCTATTAATGAATTCATCTGCCTCTGGGAGACAGTGTGAACTTACCTGCAGCTCTTCACAAAAGCCTGGATGGGGTGTTTGGGAGCAGCATTGCCTGAAGTGAAAGCTCACGTGCAGCTGTTTTAGTGCAAGTTCCTGCAGTTGTTCTTGTCCTTAGCCTAATGATTGGGTTCATGTTTCTGGTTTCTTGCACTACCCCAGGCTGCATAGGACATAAAGCCCTGTGATATTTCTTAATGCCAGCTCCATGGACTATCAATGAACAAACCTGTTTTGTGCTTGCCTTCATTGCTTGGCGTGGTATTTGTAGTACATTTGGGTGAGTAAGCTGGCCAAGCAGCACTGCAGCCTATGTGTGTCAATGCCTGGCTCAAGTGTGAAATACAGACATACCAGCAGATCGAAATAGTCATCCAAAGCCTGCAGAGATGGTGCCTTTTGCCGTGACAGATACAATCTCTGATGTTTTAAAAGGAAATCTGTGTGAGGGCTGTGTCTTTGGGCAAGTGAGGACAGGAACTCTGGTTGAAAGTCCAGAAAACATCAGCAACAAGGGACAATGAATCTTTAGGTATTTTAATTTCACATGTGGTTTCCCAGCTGGGGCAGGACATTAAAACAGAGCTGCACTAACAGCTTTTCAGTTTAGGTTCTGTGCCAGTGGTGCTGGGTAGGGTGGAGAGGGGGAGGATAAGAAAAAACTGAAGATGGCTCAGAAAGCACGAGGAGAGTCAGAACAAGAATGGCAGTGGAAGAGTTTACTCCAAAGATAAGACCCAAGGCCATGTATGCTAAATATCCAAAAATCTGCAATGCTGCTGCAAATGGGAAAAACAATTTGTCATTTTCAGGTAGGGATGACATTAGAATTAATAGATTTCAATTAACACTAAGGGAATTTTGGTGCTGGTGGTAGAAAAATCTAAGAATGTCTGCCAGATGAAGGGCTTGGCTCTGGGAGCAGGGCAGGGCTGTGGGCAGAGCACGAGCTCCTCTGGTTCTGAGAGCAGAGAACTGAACCACAGCCACAGAGTCTTGTCATGCCCCTGGCCCACCTGCCCAGGTGTAGTCTGAAAGTCAGGCTTGATGGGATTTAATGCTGTTACAGCATGAACTTTGTCACAAGGTGCTCAGTTTATATCTCATCAGTGCTGTCAGGGAGTTCTGTGAGCACTGTGACTCATCCGACAATTCGGATCTTGTGACACAGACTTGGTCTTTTGCTAATTAAAGGTGATAAATCCTCTGAAAAGAAACCACATCAATAAAGCACATGTTAAATAGCTGCAGGGCTCTTTTTTTACTTTCTTTCTTTCTTTTTTGTTTTCTTTTTTTTAATGTTTCATTTGTTGAATTGCTTCTGGCATCCTGAAACATTTCAAAACAGGACAGCTCTGTGTACTACCAGAAGCTTCCCATGGGCACTGACCTAAGAGAACTGGCTGTTCACTGATCCTCTGTATCTTCTGTATGTATCAATTAGGTGTTCTTCTATGAAGGTTTCACCTTTTCCTTTTCCAGTTTTGCAGGTAAATATTCAAATTACGTGGAGTAAAGATGACATTTGGTCATCTGTAGAGTAGAGATAGGTGATAACTAATATGTCTAAATTGGATTTTCTTGAATCAGGAAGTAGTATACTGTACACAGTCATCCACAATTTCAGGAACTAGTAGAGGACTTAACTTCATGTGATGCAGTAACTCAGACTTGGTTCTGTTTTCCCAGAAGGTGTTGGTGAATCCAGCAGACAAGAGCTACAGGTGCCCATGCTCCTACAATAATTTGAAGCCATCTTCCTTAGCTGAAGGTGGCATTACAGTTCATCAAGTTTCTCATAATGTTTTCCTGCATGTTACCATGCAGGTTTAGTCCAGACAGCAAACTTCAACCAGGTGTTTATCTCTGAGAGATAATCTGCAAGCTAGAATTTTTTGTTGAGAACTGCAGATGCCCATGTGCTGTGTGCTGTGAACTGACCTTGGGTGTTCAATGGGAACACTGATTAGCTGAAAATAAGCAGAGACACGGTCTCAAAGTAGACTAGCTCATCACCAGCTCATGCCCTATCCCTGCAAGTTCAAGGATGAGCAACCCTGAGCAACCTGATCTAGTAAGTGGCATCCCTGTCCACGAGAGGAGGTTGGAACGAGATGATCTTTAAGGTCCCTTACAACCCAAACCACTCTGTGATTATGAGATTCTATCATATCTCCTAAAAAAATTGGTGACTTGGGCTGGAAGGGAGCCCTGCAGTAGCAGACAACCAACACCTCCTAGTCCAGTGCTGCTGAAAGATCTCCAGGCCTGAGAACATGACACGTTGCACGAGCAGCAACTGCTACTGGAGTGAGTGCAGTGGGGCTTCCCCAGCCCACACCCTCAGGGCTGGGTTGCACACAAGAGTCGGAGCTGACATTGTACAATAAATACAATAACCTTTTCCCTAAGCCAGAGATTTGTAAAGGATAGAAATAGCTCTTTTCATCTGAAATGTGTATCTGTAGTCAGTCACAAACCTGCCACTTCTCCACTGTGGATCCAAGCTGTGAATGCTGGGATGATGGGAAGCTGGTGATGTTTGGGGAGGAGCACAGTCCTTGACACGCACTCCACAGCAAGAAACCTGGAGGGGACTTTATTGTTCTGCTCTGACTGAAGTTGTTCCAGTTCACAATGAACAAAAACTTCAAAACAGTGGGTTCGGGGTTAGTTTGACCAAAAAATCCCACAGTGGTGCAGTTCATTCTAGTTTGGGTCATAATCTGTTGTTTTCACAGTTGTCAGTGGAGACTTCAAAAAATGCACATCATAGATGTTCAGGCAGCCCCTAAGTTGGCAACAAGCCCATGTAGGACACAGGCTGATTCTCCAATGCCCCTTTAGTAGGAATGGTCTGTGTTTGCTGAGGTGAACATGTTGCCCACTTGTCTTCACCTCATGCTTTGCCACTTGTCCTCTCCATCAACCTTTTGATTCCCAAACATTCATAGAGCCAGCACAGGCTATGGGACAGCAAGAAGAAACCTCTATGTCTAATGCCCTCCTGGTGCTCTCTGAAAAGCATGGAGCAGGGAATTGGCCATCGTGCCCAGCCTGGCACCTGGGGCTAAACACACTAAACCTTTTTGTCCTAGAAGTCACTGACAGGACGGATGAGTTCTGGTACTTTCAGCCTAGCAACATATGAAAGCAAAACCTAACTGTTTAGAGAAAAATCTGGATTGACAGCTGTGCCCATCGATGCTCTGCTCATTCCTGACCTTGTTTCTTCAGGGCTGGAGGAACTGGGGTGTGATACCCCCCACAACCACACCCTGTGACCCCTGCTGGTGTTTTCTTTACTAAAGCAGAGTCGAGGTGCTTTGGATGTGGATCGAGTGAGAGGCTGGAGGCAAAAATTTATGCAGTATAAACAGGATGTAAGAGATGAGAGTAAGACCCATTCGCTTAATGCTTGTTTCTTAGATGCTTGACAGTAGGTGCTTTTAGTAAGGAAGTTGATTTTTGGAAGGTAACATTATCAGTATAACAGTCTTAAATGTCTGATGTCTTTGTGGAAGGACTCTGTAATGGTGTTCAAATAATAGTATGTAGGGTAGTGCTATGACGAGTGCAAACTAAAGGTTGTTAATTTCAGTGCTTGCAGATGCATCTGTTTAACTCTGCATATGTGCACGAGGGAGAAAATTTAAGCTCATTTCAGGTGCTGAAGGCAAGATTTTCTTGTGGTCCAACCTATTATATGTTTTTGCTATTTTAAGATCTATGCAGTTTGACCCCTTAATTTAAAAAAAAAATAGAGGGGAAAAAAAAGAAAAAAATTTAAAAAAAAAATGCACTAAGAAACAACTCCTCCCCCAGAAAAAAAAGAACAGCTAAGAAAGTTGGCCAGTGGGGGAAGATTTGTGTGAAAACTTAGTTGGAGTATTTTTCCTGCACAGGGGCTACTCTTTCCAAACAAACAAGCTGTGGAAATGAAGTGCAGATGGGACATAAAGAACGAGGGATTTCGTTCTCTGTAAGGATGTGGTCAGGGATAAAATGAATGTCCTTCCCCAATTCCCTCATTTTTATCTTGTATTTCCTTTCCCTTGTCAGTCAGTGAGTCCCACACACCGCACAGACCCGTCCATAGTTGGGCTCCCTGGTTGCTGGGCTGTTGACCCCCATGTGAAGAGGGTCCCTCTCCCTTCACAGAGCCCAGAGAAGGTGTAGCACTTGCTAGTGATGACTTGCAAGATTGTGCATGATATCTACAAGGATAGATCACTCAGTAATTCTGTGGTTGTCTAGAGGTATATCTATGGTACAAGTAAGATATTTTTTCTGCTGTTAATATTTGCAAGTAATGACGAAGAACTGACTGTGTCAACCCTAAAGATCCCTCCCTCTGCTGACAGTAGGACAGAGCTATTGCAAAGACAAAGGGGAAAAGCAATGTTGTTTCCACATAGTAAAAGGTATTTTTTGTAAACAATTCTGTTTTTCCAAAACTGTAGGTCTTACTGTAATATGTGCATAAGATTTCTGTTTCAGTCTGGGTGGTTTTTTCCACCCTCTGTCTGTGTGTGGATCTTCATGGTTTTAATACCAGCCCTCCAACTGAATTACAGCCTTGTATCCAATTGCACAGCATATCATAATATATTTTTATATATGTAAATACATTGTAATACATAGCATTTCCAGTGACCAAATGTAGATTTGCTTCTTCCTTCTGTGATGTAACATGGGAAAAACCTATTTCAAAATTAATGGGGGAATGACAGAATCTTAGGGCAAGAGATGAGAAATATCCCAAGGGTTTCTGCAGAGTGAATTTTGCATGGAGTAATGAAGCCTATTTCAGGCATATATGAATATGCTGAAAGAAAACAAACTTGAAAATGACTGGTCGACTGAAATTGTGGTCGTTTGTTTTTTTCTCTCTGTTTTGCTTTTAAAAAACACTGGAATTTCCTTTAGTCTGTTTTAGTTTAAAACTGTAAAAATTTTCTAAAACTGTTCAAATAAAGATCCTAAATTTTTGAACTGAGCTTTGCTATTTTGTATCGCCTTTACATTTGAAATATTTTTTTTTTTATTGTTTGCACCAGGATGTGATAAAATGTCTTTCGGGATTTAATGATTGCTGCACACACCATGGGCTGGATTGCACACAAACCTCTTAAAACTTGCCCAAGACCAGAAACAGTGTTCGACATCCCCACACAAGTGATCTCTTTACCCAGGTTTTATAACCCTGATGGATCTCAGACTCACAGACTGGTTTAGGTTGGGAGGGAACTTAAAGCCCATCCAGTGCCACCCCCTGCTATGGGCAGGGACACCTTCCACCAGCCCAGGTTGCTCCAAGCCTTGTCCAACCTGGCCTTGGGCACTTCCAGGGATGCCCCCCCAGCCATTTAAAGCTGTGTGATTGGTTGTACTGATAAATTGGGTTTGACTGCTCTGCATGTTGTAGTGCTGTTGCTTGGGAAGGAAGGTGGTTATGACAGTCCCTCTTTCTAAAAAATACTAAATATCTACTGAATTACAAGGTATATTCAGGAATATACAGACAAGAGGTACAATTCCACTCTGTGTTTCTGTTCAGTATGCCCTGCATTTCACTTTTCGATAGGCAATACAGCTGGGAAGACAGAAATTGAGACATTTCCTGTGTTACCTGGCTCTTAAAAAAAAAAAAAAAAAGGCAGTTGCAGCAAGACAGCCTTTCTGTCTGGACTGTCACTGCTTCCATTCAGATAAGGAGGGTTCAAAACCAGAAAGACTGGTTTAGTGTTAAATAAAAGGTAATAAATATTAAGATACGGTCTGGCCACAAAGCTCATCCTAAGGTATTCTAAACCTCAACCTATATTAGTTAAAACATTGCCTGGTATTCTAGATTTAAATACACACCTCTATGCTGGAACAAAATCAGTGTAATGAACAAAATCAGCATAATGAACAAGTTGTGTGACCCCTTTGTGTTCTGTACCTGTTATTCCTGTATGTGTTGCATAGACAAGGACAGGGCATTTGTTTTTGGGGGGGTTGTTGGGGCTTTTTGTTTGGTTTGGTCTGTTTTGAGGAGGGGTTGCGAGTTTCTTGGGTTGGTTTTGTTTGGTTTTTTTGTTGGTGGTTTGGGGTTTTTTTTTTAGCCCAAATTATAGGTCTTGGCACAGGGTAATGCTCTGATGGGGAATGAAGCCATTCAAAGAGGAGGAGGTCAACTGAACCACTGGTCTGGCAAATACTTGCAGTGGAGCTGGCCCAGGGTTCTCCCCCCAGTGCCACAGGTGCACCATCCATCACCAGTGAAGATCTTATCTGCATTCCTGACATTCCAAGCCTCTCCCACCACCTTGGGCATTTGCTGAAGATCTGACCCACCTGACTGGTTCTGTGCCTGCAGGAACAGTTTGTGGTGACTATTTACAAGCATCTCTGTACACCTTGCTCAGCTGCACAGCAGGACCCCCTGAGGCAGCTGTGGAATCAAAGGCTGGATTCTCCACATTCTCCATCCAGGATTGTGGCTCAGGGGATTGCTCTATGCACTGGTGCTGCCTGAAGGTTGGTTCCAGGGCACATTGAAATTGCAGAAATGTTTTGTGAAGATCTTCAGTCAATTGCCAAGTTTCAAACCAGCTCATTGTCCCATCTGTGCAGATGATTAACTGGGGACCAGCTGGGAACTCACTTGGCTGCACTGCTGTGCACACAGGACCAGCCTTGACCCCCACCCACACCACAGCTCAAAGGCACACTCAACTAAAAGACACTTGCTACAAGTTCCACAGCTCCTGCCACATATCCCAAACGATTTTATACTCTTTTTTTTTTTTCAATTTTAACAGCAAAGGAAGGTTGTGTATCATACACAGCAAATAAAAGAGAGCTTCCCACTCACCATAATGAACTACAGCAGCCCAGACTTCCAGCAGTCATGGGCCCAGGGCTGCTGTGCAAGTAGGAGGAGGAAAAAAGTTACTTGAACAGAAAAATAGTGATGATGAGTGAAAACACGAGGCTCTGAACTTTAGCATTTGAGCATAACATTAGTATGAATCTGTGGTATTTTTCTTTTGGTGAGAACTTTATTCAAGCAAACACAGTATTTCAAATTTTGATCTCTGTTTTTTCTGTTTAAATACAGTTCCTGTATTCATGGTTTGTCAGTCTCCACATCCATTCTCTTCACTATCACCTCCAAAATAGATTTGACTCTCTAGATCACCTCTGCAAGAGTTCCTTGCTAGTGATGACACCCATGGTGCCTTCTCACCTAACTTTGTGCATGCTCCCAGCCCCTTGAACAGGAGTGCAGAAACTACTGCTCCTAATTTCTTACCTATTCAACCATTAATGCACCACTAGATTTTGCTGGTTTCTTCTCATATTGCAGCCATATCTCCCCTCCTCCCCTTACTGCTTTTGGGGTTTGATCAAGCAGATTTGTCTTCTCCATTCCCACAAAGATATGTGCAGACTCTTCTTTATCTGCTGAACTTTTAGAAGGATGTCAGTCCCTCTCTCAGCTGTTTCATGGGGATGATCGTGGACACACAGTCAGAAAGGACAGGACTTTTGTGTTCACTGTCTCAACAGTCAAGTGTGTCCAGATTCAGAGACAGCTGCATTTCTTGGTTCACTGAACCTGCAGGAAGAAACTTAACCAGCCAAGTCTTCATTATTGGTGCTCAGGAGGAAACATAAAACAGGTTTCAGTGGTACTCAGTCTGGAGAGGTCCATGGGATGGCAGATGTTAGGAATGAAAGGATGAGCTCCAGTCAAAACCAACTTCAAACAAATCTCTATGATAGTTTTATAATTTAAAAATCCTCCGTTCTTTCGTTGTTTTGCCATTAAACACATGAACTGATGAAGTTTGCTGTTAATGTTGAAGCTTCTTGGGGTCAGAAGTGGCAATCCTGTGAGAGCTGACTGTGTCAAGCAGCAAGCAAAAATTCAGATTAAAGCAAAACAAGTTCTCAGTTTTTCATGTATTTTTCATCTTTTCAAGATGGCAGAAGGATCACTTGTGGGGTTAAATATGAACTTGAGCACCAGGAACCCTGTCCAGTTTTGGCCTCGGCTGTGGTGTGTGTGATGCAGGACAACCCCTGCCCGTTCCCGTGCACAGTCAGGCCGTTCTCCTTACACAGATTGTTACAGTGATAAACAGAATATGAACTGTAAGGGCTATGGGTGTCTGACTGAGGAAATTAGTAATTTTTTGTCATAGTGTTGCCTTCACTGTTCCTGTGTGCAGGGGGCTGTGCTGGTGAACTGATCCCCCCCCTGGCCTCAGTGTGGGAGGGGGTGACAAGGGAGGACAGGGGGAATTCAGTGCTGCCGGCACGAACCACCCCACTGCAGGCAGCGATTTTCCCTTCTGTCCCGCAGGTGGAAGGTGCTGCTGCTGAAGGGATGGGAGCTGCACAGCGAAGCGCAGGAAGGTCCCGTGGCTGGGGGGAGGCAGGGGCTGGGGCATCGCTGCTCCAGTTCCCAGCGCGGGCAGCCGGAGAGCGGGGGGCGGGGGAAAGCGCTTAAACCCAAAGTTCGGCGAAGCAACAAACCGGCTCTTCAGGGCGAACCGTTCGTGCCTCTCAGCCTGTGCCTTTAAGCCCCGCCGCGATCTCCCCCCGTGCCTCTCCCACCGCCCCCTCCGCCGCCCCGGGCCGGGAGCTCGGGGAGAAGCGCCGGGGACAGCACCTGGCGGCAACGGGAAAAGCAAAGCAGGTGAGTCCCTGCTCCTCCTAAGGGGCTCTTTTCATTTTCTTCAGGGTGCCGGGCTCTCTTGGCTCGGATGGGAACAGAAAAGTCTGCACCTTCCCCGACAGCTGCACCCACTCGTGGGTGCTCCTTACCCTGCGGTCCCACCGCGATCCCTCCTGCCCGGCGACCGGGGCTCGGACACCCGTCCTCCTCCTCCTCTTCCTTCTTGTTCTTCTCCTTCTCCTCCTCGCTTCTCCCTCAGGGTCAAGCAGGTTTGTCGCCTGCACCTGCAGAATTCCAGACAAGCGGGACTTTGAAACTGCTTCTCCCTGCTGGATTTCCCCCCATGCTTGGGGAAATCCCTCTTGCTCTGCTGGTTCTGAGGAAACAGCTTGATTGTGAATTGATTGCCTGTGGGGAAAACAGCTAAGCCCGGCTTTTACTGAAAGTAAGAGAGGGAAACAACTTCTGTGCTTCCTTAGCACATAAGCCTGCTTGCTTATGGCTAAGTACTTTTTCTTATGTGATGCTGAAGTGCTTTTTAGTGTTTTTCAATTCTATGTAACTCTAACATGATTCAGGGGAGGTTGGGACCACTTTGCACAAATGAGTGGAGGGGATTTTTTCTGCTCCTGGGACCAAAGGAACCCACTGGCCACAGAAATGAGCTCCCCATTGAATGTCTGTGGAAGCTGAACCCTTCTGCCAGCTGTGTATTCCTGTAGCCCATTCCATCTTTCGTCTGTTAACCAGCAAACACATGTGGGACCTAATGGATTTCCTTAGTGGAAAGTGACCTCTAGACCCTCTTACTGGTTAAGGAGAAACGTCTTAGTTTCTTTAACACTTTGGAAACCAAATGCAGAGAATGATCTCTTTTAATTGTTTAAAAGCTATAACAAATGAAATATTCTAGAAGGAAAGTTCAGATTGGCTTATAGGAAATAAAAGCTTTAGCAGTAATGCAGACCTAAATGCTGAAATAAGCAACATTAACACTGTAGGAAATACAGGAGTGGAACAGCTGTGGCAGTGAGCAGCTTCGGCTTTGGAATGGGTCAACTGTTACAGCGGCCTCCATGGGCTGGGAATAGCACCATCATTGGAGCTCAGATAAATGATTCTGCAGCTGGATGGTGCTTTGTTCCCAGGGTTGAAGGAAAGGGCTGGAGAGTTGTGCTGCTTTGCACTCACTTGTCTGCAAGGCTGGTCTGCAAGAGCTCCAGCACAGCCCCCCGTATCCTGCTCAGGGGAGAATCCTAGGGGTGAGGTGCCAAGCAAGGCAGCACAGGCCAGTGCAGGACTTGGGCTGTCCCTGTGGGCCAACACCCTGCAGCCTCTGCTTGGGAATGGCCTCAGGGGGCTGGACCCAAGCTGTGCATGGTCACACAGCCTCAGCACTGAAGTTTAGCAGGTGACACTGTTGTGTATTGACACATGTAGAGTTTCATTCTGCAGCCTCTGAAGTTAGTGACAAATATCCCATTGGCTCAGGTGCTCTGAGTTCACTGCTTGACTGCTACCTTTCATCACTGGCTGGTTTCTCTATGTGATCTCTCCCTTTGAGGGAACATGCACTGCAGATGACTGGTTTCAGGGTAGCGTAGGGGTTTTGTGCCCATGAACTCTCATGCCTACCTGTCAACCTGTAATATCAGCAGAAGCAAGGTAAAAATGTAATTTACACATTGCTTCTAATGTATGTCAGCTGGTAAGAAAGAATAAAATGTGTCCATCTGCAAGATGAAGACATGGAGTTTAGCCCCTGTCCCTTAAAGAACCTCTGGTCCCAGCATGTCCACTGACTTCATCAGGAACAAGAGTTCTTCCACAGCCTTTGCACCGGCCTGACCGTGTCCAGGGGAGGTGAGTGGATGTCACTGAAGGAAATGCCATGAGTTAAGCATGTGAGTTCTTCCTGGCCATTCATGAGCTGAAAAGTATCAAATTATATAGTGCTCCTCTTGTGAAAAGTAACCAGACAAACAGAGGCTTCCTGACTTACTGGATACTCCCCATGTGTATTCAGGATTTACTATCTGTACTGAGTTTTCAATCCCAGTCGGGGCAGGAGAGCTGCCTTCATTTTATCGTGTAGTCCATGGCTCAAAGTTTAAGAAGTGATTGCAGGCACAAATATGGCCAGTACTCTGTTACCAAAGGCAGAGCTCAGGGCTGAGTGTCTCTGAGGTGGAAGTGATGTTAGAGCCTTTGTTACCAGTGATAATACGAGCAGCAGGGAGCTCAGCCTGTCTGTCATGCCCCAGCTGAGACTGCTGAGCTGGCAGGCAGGAAGAGGATCTTCTTACTTGTAAATTGAGAGACGTTTTGCAGACCAAGAGGGACAATAAACAAGGCCAGCACAGTGTCACTGGGCTTACTGAGAGCAGGACTACAGCTGAACCAGAGGCACCTCCAAGAAGAGGGCAGCAGGTGAGTGGGGACTTTCAGATTTGCTCGCTTGCAGGCCACTCATGGTCTGGGGGCTCTGCACTCACATCAGTAACAAGAGTTGTCCTCAGTCCCGAGCCTGCAGCCTCTTAGGTGACAGTGTTTCTTTCCACTTGAAAGTAGAGTGTAGTCTTTCAAATGCAGCACAACCCCCTCTAAATGTTAACCTGCAGCGATGGGGCCACACACAGCTCTGCGTGTCCCTTACAGAGACTGAAGATGGGTTAAAGCAAAAGGATTAAAGACTTACAGGGTTGGGTGGTCCAAGGAACCAGTGTGGTGGTCAGTGACATCCATGTCACACGAAACAGAAAGGCCATGTTAGCCAAAGCTGTGTCTGTTGGTCATGGGGGTGGTTTGCCTCTGATGCTGAGAGCTCTGCCCTGTATCTGTTTGGCTTTCTTTTTATGGCACAGCATCGTCTCATCAGAAGGTTTAAGGGAAGACAGAGGGGCTCACCAGGAAACAAGTGTTGGAATATTCCAACACTCCCTTCTCTGCAACCCCACTCACAGAGTGGCTCTGAGGTACCCCCTGAGCCATAAGGGGGAACTGGCACATGGTTCTTGGCCTCTCCAGACTGACATGTCCTTGCACTGCCACCACCACCCAATAGATACCGCTGGTTATAAATCCAGCCCCCTAGGAAAGTGTTCTACCTTCTCTCAGTAGCTGGTGCCACAAGTGAGCCCCATTTCTATACAAATAAATCCCAACTCAAAGGAAAAAATTACAAGGTTTGACCCCATTTTAACTGAGATATTTGGGGTTGGCTGTTCCCACCACCATGCTCTGCCAGCAGACCTGTTTGCACACCCACATCTCTCACCTCCTCTGGTCATGCTTCTGTTTTCACTTACAGCAAATGACCATCTTCTCTCTCCTCCTCAAGCTCATGGTTTGGTGACACAGACATGGTTTATTTTCCGGTGCCTCAGATTTTGAATGGTGAACTCACCAAACGAGGCACACTGGACTCTACTTACTCATTTTGGGCTACCTCCTTCTGGAGAAATAGTCTACTTCTACTTATTCCTCCTCTGAAGTGCCACAGGTCTTATCTTGGTGATAAAGTCAGTAGTCCTTCACTTGCCTTTGGCCACAGGCTCCTTGCTTTCTGAGGCTGTAGGTGGATCTGCTGCAGGGCTCGTGGTCTGCCTCGAGCAAGTCGCATATTTTTTGTATCTGTGCCCCATTTTGCAAAGGCTCTGTCTGGGTGAGGACTGACAGGCGTGACCTTAGACCATGAGACAGTTTTACAACCCTTTTGCCTGAAGGCTCAGCAGACACAGCATTACTGTGCTGAGAGCCACACTACCCCATCCTGGGATAAAGCAAATGCTTTTATTAACACTTGGTTATTCAGATGGTTGCAGCATATTTGCTGCCCTCTATAATCACAGTTTGGGGGAAAATCATCCCAGTGAGCTGGAATACAGAAATGAAGCACAAAGACCCCAGAGCAGCCCAAACTGGCCATCAGGGGACATTGGGGTTTCCTTGTATTCGTTATCTGTAAATGAAGTTGACTTCTGATGACATGGTCACCACTGTTTCTTTCCTGTCTGTCTTTCCTCTGGCCAACAGTTCAGAGAGGGGGCTCAGCTCATGTCCCTGTGGTCAAGAGCTGCTGGTAGGGGCTGACAGACTGGGAATGGGAGAAGCTGGAGGGAGCCTGGGGCAGTGCAGTGTGAGACAGGAGTCTCTCTCTGAAGAGAGACAGACTGAGGGCTGGAGAGGGCTGGGAAGGCAGAAGGAAAAGACTCAGGAGGTGAAGACATGAAGGGGAAGACACAGTGAGGTGAAGGATTAGAAGTACCCAGCAGTGGAAGGGAAGAGGCTGGGGAATGGGGAGACAAATGAAGAAGACCAGCCCCTTTGCGGGGCAGTTGTGAGCATGGTGCTGGGACACCACTGTGGTGCTTCAGCCCCGGAGCTGTTGCATTTTGCAAGAAGCCAGTTCTGCCTGAAAACAGGCACAGTTTGTGCTGAACAGATGAACCCTGCTCTGGGCCAGTCCTGCAGGTGTGCATGGCCTGGGGTCACCTGAGTGAAACAGAGACACCTCCCACAGTGAGGCTGGATCTGTGCCCAGCTCACGGACAGGCAACCAGTGCCCCTCCTGTGGCCCTGCTTGTCCCCTTGTTGCTCCTGCACGTGGTGTGCCCTCAACACACTGCACATGCATGTTCTCACACCCTCATGTGGGCTCTCACACCCTGTGGACTCACACCCACTCACACGTGCTGCTTGCGCTCTTTGACAAGAAGAGTGGGTGTTAGTGACAGTTTGGCTAATTGGATAAATGAATATTTTTACAATATTACTTAATATTTTGTACTTTACTTATCTGAACCAACAGAGAAATAAAATATATCTTCCAAGAAAATCCTATGGAATGATTCAAGGCTGCCCTAGAGTGAAGTCCAGACTCCTACAGAGAAAACAAACCCAGCACCACAGCAGATCCCGGGGGACAGCCGGAGATGGTGACGGTCACAGAACAGCTCTTGCTGACTCTGCAGCACATCAGATGTGCCTTCTCTTCTAAAATGGAGTGGTGAAAAGACTGAGACAGGACAGAGAGGACTCTCTTAGGTCAGGGGCTGTTAGGGGCATTGTATTTTATAATCACTCAATTTATAAACTAACCAAAAAATCATTTTTCTTCTTGACATTCCTACTGGAAACTCACGCTCCTCTGACTGTTAATACTTTTCCTAATTTCTTCCCCACCAAAAAAATTTACTTTTTGCTCATCTGATTTTATGCCACAATATTTTTCACTGTGTATAGCTCCTTGCTACAGATCTCCATTATGTATTTACAGATTAGTCCTTATTATTTTCAGTGAAAAATTACGATCTCTACTTTGCTTTTGCAAAATGGGCTTTACATTTACATGTCCTTTTAATTTTTTTTTAACTCACACCACTCACAACTCACAACAAAAGAAACTAAACTTTCCTTATGCTAAAAGGGAGAGCAAAGACACGTTTTGATTGTTTTGGGAAGTAAAAGGTTCTCTAAATTTTCTTACTCTTTCCAATTAAAATGCCTCTGCAATTACTAATATTAACTTCTTTCTAGGGTTCCAAGTAATTAGATTTGTAATATGACTTGTGTATGCAGCCAAGATTGTATAGTCAAAAAGAAACACCCAGCCAGAGCCCACTTTGTCTGTGGGATTAATGTTTTTCTCAGATGCAGTTGTCCCACCTTGGTCCATTGATGGTCTGCTGCACTGGTCAGCAGACCTGGACTGGATTTCTAAGGTCCTACATTCAGCACACTACAAGAGAGACAGTGGCTCTAAAACCTACTGAAAGAGAGGAGGAGGGATCCCTCATCTGTATGTATTCAGGTCACAAGAACCACTAGAAAAATGTTCCCTACCTGTCTGCTCTGAGCCAGAGCTGAATTGTCAAATGGAGATATTGTCAGGAACCAGGGACCACAGTGCCTATCTGTGCCAGGCTCAGTGACAGCTGAGAAAGAGTATTTGGAGGTCTGCTAGAAAAAAAGAGGGATCTTGGACAGGCTCTCCCTTCCTCTCCCCTTTCCCTCTGTTTGTTGCCTCACAAAGAAGTGACCTTTTAAAATCTCTTATCTAGAAGCTTCAGTTTAAAGAGCTGCTGACGCCTCTTGGAAAACACTGAAAAGCTCTTCTGAAACAGGGAGCTGCTGCTCCGTGTCCCGGGTCCCTTTCTTCCCCTCTTCCTTTCATTGCTGGATGCATTTACATTAGAAAAGGCTGTTCCTCTGCAGCTTCCCCGAAGTCACAGCCTGATTTACAGCAGTAGTGAATTGCTTGCTGTGGCAGCACAACCTCTCACAGCACCTTCTGAGTGGGTGGGAAGTGACCAGGGGAGATGACCCTTGGCAGGACACACTTTGCAACTGAGGACAGCAGAGCTGAGTGGGTTTTATGCTCTTGATGCTGTCAACATCAAGGCAAAGTTTGAGAGGTGATTGTGCCTTGCCAAGACTCTTCTGGTGTCACCTGTAAATCTGAAGTTTCCCAGCAGCTCGAGATTGAGTCCTCAAAGAACTCACTCTGAAGCTGAGTGGCTCTGGACCTTTGGCCAAGGTCAGACTTCTGTGGCTTTCCAGTCTGACAAAACAAATTGTCTGAGATAGCCTTTATCCCGCCAGTCTGAAGGGAAGGGTTATGTGCCTAGGAGGGAGAAATATTTATCCAGTTATTTAATACATTTTAGGGCCACAGGAAATCAGTGCCCCTCCTTGTCTCACCAGGCTTGTTGCAAAAATCAGCCTGTCTGAATGACTGATGGAATCACAATGGATATCCCAGGCTATTTCATTCCTACTGATACCCAGTCATTGATGACGTGCAAATAAAGGCCAGCCACAGGTGGGCTTGTACAAGCAAGACTGCAGACCCCAAAAAAGCAAGATAACTGTTCTATTTTTGGCATTTTTGAGATCTCATTTGGAGCACCATATACCATCTGGGCATCTTCAGTGCACCAAGAGTGCAACCTGAGGCACATTCAGTGGACGTGGTGTATCCATCCTTTCACTTCTCCTGGCAATGTTTGAAGCTCCTGGCGTAACCATGGAGCAGCACGACACATTTCATCCCAGCCTTATCCTTTTCTTCTTCTTCTTCTTAATCACAGAGCCCACCTGCTTAAAAAGCATGGACCAGATAAAGCCAGGACAAGTGCCAGGACAAGGCACTCAGAGAAGGAGACTGAGAGCCTGCTGTTGGAAGGTTACTGCTGCTGCCGTGGCTGGTAGTGCCACAGCTCTCTGCCTGGGGATCCTGCTGGGTGAGTGTGCAGCTGAGTACATTCTCTCAGTTTATCACCTCCAAAAGAGAAGTGGTCTGCACTACTCATAGCAAAAATCCTCCTGCTGAAGACAAAATGTGGTCAGGTTCCTGCATGTACACACACAAACAAGGGCTGTAGTCAACTCATGTTCTCAGTATGTGACTTTGGAGCACTTCATCTTCAGTGTCTCATGGCATGTATGCTGTATTCCTGTCCTGCTTGACCAACCTGATCTCCTTCTGTGACAAAGTGACCCACGCAGTGGATGAGGGAAAGGCTGTGGATATAGTGTACCCCAACTTCAGTAAAGCCTTTGGCACCGTTTCCCACCACATTCTTCTGGAGAAACTGGCTGCTTGTGGTGAATGGAGTTACATCCAACTGGGGGCTGGTGACCAGTGGTGTTCCCCAGAGCCACTCTGGGGCCAGCCCTGTTTAATATCAATGATCTTGACGAGGGGATCGAGGGCACCCTCAGTCAGTTCACAGATGACACCGAGCTGGATGGGAGTGTTTCTTTGCTGGAGGGCAGGAAGGCTCCAGAGAGGCAACTGGACAGGCTGGATCAATGGGCCAAGGCCAGTGGTGTGAGGGTCAAAAAGGCAAAGTGCCAGTCCTACCAGAAAACTGCCTGGTGGAGAAGGGCCTGGGGGTGCTGGCTGACAGTGGCTGAACATGAGCCCAGGTGTGACCTGGCTTGTACCAGCCACAGTGTGGCCAGCAGGACCAGGGTGGTGACTGTCCCCCTGTGCTGGGCACTGCTGAGATCTCACCTCAAATCCTGGGTTCAGTTTTTGGTCCCTCATGACAAAAAAGACATTGAGGGGCTGTAGCATGTCCAGAGAAGGGAATAGAGTTTGTTCCAAAGGAAAGCTGCCTCTGACAGACACTGTCCCTCTCTGGCAGCCTGCCACCCCATGGGAGAGACCAGCTTTGAGCACACAGTGGAGCTGCAAGGAATCATATTCAACAGCAGCTTAAAGATGGAGAACTCAGACTACTACAGGGTGCTGACACCTGCTCTTGAGAGGCTGGTGAGTTGATCTGGGCTTTCCAAGAAAATACTTGGGAAATACTGTGGTGGTTCATGAGGGCCCAGCTTGCCTGTCCTCATTCAGCAGAATCTGGATGTCATGGGCAGGAGGGAAACTGGGACTTCTTAAACATCAGCACAGACTGAGCCACACTTTGAAAGGCCCCACTGGGGCCCTGAGAGGCATTTGTAGTGTGGGAAATGTGTGCTCACGCCTGCTCCTGGCTAAAGAGGTAGGAAAGCATCAAAAAGGGATGTACTGAGCTAGGATGGGAAAAGGGTTAGACATGAACAGGACATGGCTGCTTCTGCTGCTTGCAGAGGCAAGAGAAGATGCTTCAACAGCTCCAGCTCCCTGCAAAATCCCAGGCATAATCTAGTCCCACCTCCCTGGGGTCTTCTGTGCATAAGTGTATGACCGTCACTCTTTGCTTTGCAGTTTCTGTCCAGTCTCCAGGACTCCCAGCTGGACTGGAGTTGCACAGGTTGCAATATCCTGGGCTATAGGTGAGTGCAGGCAGCTGCCCCTGCAGGCTCTGCAGCTCATGTCTCAGGGCATTCTGACAAACCTTACCAAGAAGGGGAGCTCACACCTGTGCTGTTGTTCAAAACTAGTACAAAGAGAAACTGTTTTTTGATCAAGGCTGGATTTTCTTCTGGGATTGCAGTAGTGTTCTGGATTCTTTCATCTGGAAATGCAGTCAGAAAGGCAGAGGGAAACAGCTTCTTTGACCACAGCTTTGGGCCAAAGGAAAAAAACCCTGCAAATGAGTATTTCAACCTGGAGAACATCTCCAGAAAAACCTTAAATTATTAAGAATCACATTATTAAGAGTCAGTTTGGTTTCCCTTCAGTTCCCTGCAGGCAGCGAGCACAGGAGCCTGTACTGATCGTGGAGCCAACATCCTCATTAATTTTGTCTCCCAGCAGGAATGGAAACTCCAGTGTGATCGTCCATTTCCGCCTCTTCTTCGCCGCCCAGGATTCCCAGCCCCTGAGCTCTGCCTTGGAGGAGGAGGCTCTCAGGCACGGGCTGGCAGCTGCCCTGCACAGGCAGGGGCTGTCCCTGGCTGCCTACGGGACCATCTCCTCAGCTTCTCTGACAGGTGCTGCTCTCCCCCCACTGCAGGGCAGGCAGGGCAGGGTGCTCTGTGCTGGGGCTGCTGCCACCCAGAGTCACAAAGCAGAGCCACCATCTGTGCCTCCGAGAGCCAAACTGTTGCAGGGCTCCAGCTCTGGATATCCAGTCAAGGCTTCATGCCCAGCAGCAGTGCTGGAAATGGGGGTGCTGCCACAGGCACCCAGCAGAACAAGGAAATCTCCGCCTGGCTCCCAGCTCCACTATACAGCAGCAGAGACAAACCTAGATCTTGCCTGCTGCTCAACAAACATTTGTGGGGTACCCAAATACCTCTCCAGCACTAATGCTGTCCTGCTGCTCTGCCCTGCAAGAGCAGCTTGAGGGGCTCACAGCAACTACAGAGTCTAAAGTATAAATTGCAGTTTCTTTGGCTTTCCTTGCAGCACCAGCCTAAGGGACAGGGGATCAAGCTCTAGGAGGCTAATTGCTGAGTCGTCTGTACCTGCAAGTGCACAGCAGTCCTTAGGCAGTCCTCAGAGTTGTGGCAATAATTACGGCTTAGGTAGATATTTCTCATATTTGAATTACTCTCTGAAACCACCTGACAAGAAATTCTCCTTTCCTTCAGTGACTGTGGCTATAGGACTTCAGGTATAGCAGATTTAAAAAAACATGTGCCCGGGAAACATGAAGGTGTGGGCTCCTCTGCAGCTCCCTCTGCACCCTCTGCCACAATGGGCAGGATCCCTGGATCCTGGGGAGTCTTGTGCAGCCCAGATGGAGGGTGCACAGACTCCCCTTGGCTTTAGGCAACAGTCCTGCATAGGTTCAGACCTGGAGTCTGCTCCTAGGAGGCAGCTCACTGCTTTTGGGAATTTATCACCCAAAGCCCACAGAGGTGGCTGCTCCTCCCCTGTTCCGTGGCTGAGCAGAGTTCCCCAGCAGGGGCCCAGGCCAGGAGCTCACACTGGCCATGGGGCAGGGGAAGGCAGGAGAAGATGATGCAGCAAAGCCTGCAGGCCCAGTCTGGGAACAGCACAGTCCCCAGAGCTCCTGGCTGGGCTGCCCTTCTTGATCCTGATTCCTTCTGCTTTGTCACAGGTCCCAGCAAGGTTTCTCCCCACAGATCTGGACTGAAATCAGGTAAGAGCTAGGCAGGAAGAGCAACCTGCACTCTGCAGCCTCCTCCTCCTCACAGCAGCCTGGATGCAGAGATCTTGTTCATACCCTGGCGGCCCAGGGCCCTGCAAGCTCAGCCAGAGCTGCAGCTCTGCTCCCAGCGCCATCCTGGAGGGACTGCGGCCCTGCCAGGGAGCAGGGTGACAAGGACACTGCCCTGTGGTGGCTGCCCCTGGGGAAGCCAGGGCAGAGTTGCTGGGTGGGCTGCAGGGGACACAAATGACTCCAGCCTTGCCCTGGAGACACCGTCACTTGGCACAAACCCAGCCCGTGACAGGCAGATGGGGGTGCTGGTGCCTCTGAGGGAAGGGCTGTGGGGAGTCTGTCACAGCAGGTCTCCTGGACAGTAGGGGACAAGCCACAACGCACTGCTGCACACTGTGACAGGTGTAACACCACTGGCTTCCAGGCACTGAAGGGAGCCAAGGACACAGCATGACTTTTCAAGCCAATAGTAAATGCCTGTGCTGTGAGGATGAGGGGAGCTGGGCCCTGAGAAACACCTTGGTCCCACCACCAACTGTGATAAGGCCCACCTTTGTGGTGGCCTGGCATGATGGACAAGAGCCACATGATGGACAACACCCACGAGCTGCTGGGAGCATATCATGGGGCAGTGGCTGAGATTGTCAAACTAGTCAAGATGCTTCTCCCCAGAATTTCAGGGAGGATGCTGTGATGGGCCAGTCTTCGCAGTGCTCTTTCCAAGCCTGCCCTGTGACATCCCAGGCACTCTCCTGTTGTTTGAGCATGTGCTGGGAGCACACATGAAGCTGAAGCAGCTTCTCCCACTTGCCCCCAAGTCTGTGTTGCTGGGACACAGCATCAGGATCCTGATGCACTGGCTCTCTCATCCCTTCCAGACTGTGGAAGCCGCCCTGCCATGCAGACTGCCAGCAGGATAGTTGGAGGTTCAGAGGCGTCCAGAGGGGAGTTCCCATGGCAAGTCAGCCTGCGAGAGAACAACGAGCACTTCTGTGGTGCTGCAATCCTCACAGAGAAGTGGCTGGTGTCTGCTGCTCACTGCTTTACTGAGTAAGTTCTACTCATGCCATCTTCCCCCCTCCATCTCCTTTCCAAAAGCTACCATCTCTGCCCTATCATGCCTGGTTTCCCTCAGGGGGACTGTGGGGAGTTTCCGTCACTTCCAGAGTGGATGGCAGGATGCAGCTTGGGTTTGCAGGACGGTGCTGTGGCTGGAGGCTCACACAGTCCCTGCTGTGTCTCCTCCAGGTTTCAGGACCCAACCATGTGGGCAGCTTACACAGGGACCACCTCCCTCAGAGGCTCCGACAGCAGCGCGGTGAAAATGGACATTGCACAGATCATCCCTCACCCCTCCTACAACGCCGACACCGCTGACTACGATGTGGCTGTGCTGGAGCTGAAGAGACCTGTGACCTTCACCAAGTACATCCAGCCCGTGTGCCTGCCAGACGCAGGCCATCACTTCCCAACCAGCCAGAAGTGCCTCATCTCCGGCTGGGGTTACCTCAAGGAGGATTTCTGTAAGCAGAGCGGGGCAGGGAGCAGAGGAGACGTTGGGGGGTTGTGAGTGAGGCAGGAGACCCCAGGGAAGGGAACTCAGGCCAGCTGGGCTGGCTCTGCCTGGGGCTGCTGCTCCCTGAGCTGAGCTCACAGTCGTGTCTTTCTCGTTCAGTGGTGAAACCCGAGTTCCTGCAGAAAGCAACAGTGGAGCTGCTGGACCAGAACCTGTGCTCCAGCCTCTACAGCCACGTCCTCACAGACAGGATGATGTGTGCTGGCTACCTGGAGGGGAAGGTTGACTCCTGCCAGGTAAGCTTTGCCCAGGGAAGCTGGCACAGATCCCCACGTGAGTCTTTTCCTCTCAGAATGCACCAGACCTTCAAGGCTGTTCCTGTGGCTTGGCAGGGCTATTCAAACCCGCAGCCACCAGCTGAGCAAAACTGCACTGCTCTGGTGGTAGTGCCTCCTATTTCTGGACTAAATACAACACAAACACCAGAGAAGAGGCCAAGAATGGAAGATCCAAGGGTGGATGAGCAGCATGACCCATCTGGTTATTCATTATTGATCTAGAGCAGTATCAGCCCCAGAAGGCACTGCCAGCTTCACAGACACCACATGTCCATCAGTGACACTCTCAGGGCCCCACAATAACAAAGAATTGACCAGGGAACCATAGGCCAAATCAAGAAAACCTGATGCAAAGATTAGCATGGTCACCCTGGGTTATGTATCAGGCAATGAACACCCATCATCTGGCTGTGGAGGGGCTGCTGGGCTTAACCTTTAAGAAAGACAATTTAACGAATGATTAAAGCAGTAGAAATACTAAACCCTATATTTTATAGAGGATGTCCTTGTGCTCTTCTGGCATATCAATGGCACAAGGCTACTACTTAATAGAAGGACAGCATGCCCAGATGGAGGAGCAGCCAAAGGCCAGCACAGGAGATGCTCCAGTCATCACTAGGTTGGAGCAAATATGAAGTGAGCTGAGATACACAGGGAGTGAGAGACCCCAGCTGGCAGAGGGATGCTGAAGGTGGCCAGGGAGAGCTCAGTGCATCCCCAGGGAGAGCTCACCATCTGGTTTCTCTTGCAGGGCGACTCTGGTGGGCCCTTGGTTTGCCAAGAACCATCTGGCAGGTTTTTCCTGGCGGGAATCGTGAGCTGGGGGATTGGATGTGCTGAAGCCAGGCGGCCTGGGGTTTACACACGTGTTACCAAACTCAGAGACTGGATCTTGGATGCTATTTCTGCCTTCCCCACCTCCACAGCCCATCCTGTCCCTCCAGTACACTCCAGTACCAACAGTGATGTGGTCAGTGCTGAAGAGCTCAACACCACCAGAGGAACCCCCACCACCTCCCCAGCCCCAGCGGCCAGCAGGCCAGTGACTGCAGTGAGACCACAAGGTATGAGCACCCATGGGGGGGTGCACCTTGGCAGGAAGAGTGGCAGATGCAAGTCCAAATGCCAGGTTCCTTCTTTTGGTGAGCTGAGCTGACTTTCTGTAGGGTGAGCCCCACAATCCTGGCCTAAGTACTAAGGCCAAGGCACATGTGACACTGTCTGGCCGTCCCAGCTCAGAGCAGAGCAGCCTGGCAAGGTCACTCAGTACCTGTGCAGGTCCATGCAGTTCCTTTGCTTATACAACTGTGTCATCTTGCCTGAGTGACTCGGCTGCTCCAGCAGCTCCAGGACAGGGCACTAAGGCACAGCAGTGTCTGACAGCATTTAACCTATTGACCACTCACTTTTGTTTGCCACCTATGGATCTCCCCACAGCTCAAAGCTGGTGGCTGCACCTTCACAGCAGACGGGGACCTTCTCACTGCAGGGAAGGAGGGCAGGTGTCTTAGGATGACCTGTCTGCTCTAGAGCCCCCAGCAGCTCTGCAGGGAGATGTAGATGTAAGGTATTTTGCTACATTTAGGATTAAGTTTTCATCTGTAATGGCAAGGCTAAGAGGCACTAATTACTAAGTGCCTAAGTGCCTAGAGGCACTAATTACTAAGAGGCGCTGATTACTCTGCCGTTGAGAAAGGCCCAGGGTTGGGGATTTGCCAAGAGCAAGATGCAGAACAGCAGTTAGTGTGAAAGCCCAGGTGTAAATAGACACCATCAGGCCCTGCCATGATCAGCAGACAGGGCTTGGGTAGATCCTCACGCCTCAGCGCTGACCTGTCCCAGCTCAGACTTACTGGTTAGGGAGAGCAAAAGTCTCTCGCTTGTCTTCTGCCAGGAGTACTCACAAGTCATGCTTTGACTTTGTTCAGAGTGTGGAGGACGACCTGGGTTCTCTAAACCCAGCAAGATTGTGGGAGGAACAGATGCTTCCAGAGGAGAGATCCCCTGGCAAGTCAGCCTGAGAGAGGACTCGAGGCATTTCTGTGGAGCCACCATCATTGGGGACCGCTGGCTGCTGTCGGCAGCTCACTGCTTCAACGAGTAAGAGCCTCCCCCACCCTTCACCACAGAGCTGTGCTGCCAAAACCACAGCGTGGCACTGGAGCCACACAACAAGAACATATTCTGCACATGAATCTTTGCTATAACTAGAGATTCATAGTAAAAGGGGGTTTGTGGGGAGGTTGGAATGATGCAGAGAGGGGTTACCCTGGCTTGGGCAGGGAGCAAGGACAACACATCTAAGAGGGGTGGAAAAGGACAGATGCCACAAGAACTTCTTTAATAAATTTAACCTTAAAAATTGTCATATACAAAATAGAGACACGTGATCAGCTGCTAAAGGGAAAATGGTGTGTTCAGTCCTGCAGAGTTCTGTTCTGCAAGAGCCCAAGCCCAGATTTATGAGTAGCCTTGATAAAGAAATGAGTAGCAAGAGGACAACGTTTGTCAAGAATAAATTCCTGAAGGCAGAAAGGGTGAGAGACTAACTAAGAAGGATTTCAAGACAACCTCATGCATTGAACAGCTGGGCAATAAAGCAGTGAGTGATGTGTAAGGTAGACAAGTGTGAAATGGGGCACACAGCAAAAGCAGCAGTGCTGTTTGTGGACAAGGAGGGGTCTCCATCAGCTATCCCCATCCATCTCCATCTGAATGTTGCCATCCAGAACAAGCGGTCAGAAACGTGCAGATTTTTCCCTGAGAGCAGCAGTCCCGTGGGCAGGGCCGGTTAAAGAGCACAGGATGCAGTAACAGTCAGAAAAACAAGGGAGATGACCAGGATGTTGCGGGTAACGCACAGCACACCAGCTCCACACAGGGCTGGAGTAACACTGTGTGAAGGTGAACACAAGGCTCGGGGATGAGCTGGGTGTGGAACAGCATCATAACATGCAAGACACAATAGATCAGACTAGACCTGGGGAAAAAACAACTGGTGGGAAGGGAAAGTGATGGGACTGGACAACGATGAAGGGTACAATTAGGGAATGCCTTTTGACTCTTTTTTTTAAGATACCAAATAACCACCAAGAGCAGTTGTAAAACAATCAAAAGGAAGCAGTTCTTAATAAATGTCATTAAACTGAATATTCAAAATTCACGTAGGGTTAAAAAAAAGAATAAAACACAACTTTAGAAAAATCCAAATAAAACCCCCAAATCCATCAAGACCTACTGAATACAGAGACACAGCCTGTGTACCAGAACACTCCTGAAATCATAAATTTCTGGAGGTAAGGAGAGGTTATTACTACATGTTTACTTGCTCTTCAGAAGATATCCAGCAGCTGCCACTGCTGGAAACAGTTCTTTGGGCCTGACTTAGCAGGGCTGCACTGCTGTGTGCTGATCATGTAAAACTGTCTGCAGTCATCTGTGTGTGAGAATGCATGTTTAGAACTGTGTATTTGCAGGACAAATCCAGAAGAGATCGAAGCCTACATGGGAACAACATCACTCAATGGAACAGATGAGAATACAGTGAAAGTCAACGTAACAAGAGTGATCCCACATCCCCTCTTCAGCCCCATGATTCTGGACTTCGACGTGGCTGTACTCGAGCTGGCAAGACCTCTTGTCTTCAACAAATATATCCAGCCTGTGTGCCTCCCACTCGCTGTGCAGAAGTTCCCTGCTGGCAAGAAATGCCTCATTTCTGGGTGGGGAGATCTCCAGGAAGGGAATGGTAAGCAGTGGTGCTGATTTGCCCTGGAGCACTGACAGCCTGAGCAGCAAAGCCTGTGCCACTGACCCACAGTCCTGTGAGCACACAGGGCAGGACAGGGACAGGGACAGTCAGGAACTGACACAAACACAAGAATAAACAAGAATAAAGGCACACAGAGCATCACCTTAAACCACAGTTATTTAGAGTCACCAGCAAACACGAAAATTGAGAGAGCAGCTTGGTGGGAACCAGGAGAAACCTGCTAAGACTCCTCTCAGTAGCTCTACCATGCTAAGCAAGAGTCAGACACTGGCTCAGAGCCTGCTGCAGCTCTGGCAGGACGGTGTGTCAGCCACAGCAGACACACTCAGTCAGAGATGTTCCAAGCAACTGGAAAAGGAAAGATCCCACTGTAGGGAAAAGGCCTGAGTGGCACCTGTGCTACCAAAGAAGCCCAGCTGACCAGGAACCCACAAGCTGTCAGGGACACAGCTGGGTGCAGGATCCTTAGCACAGACAGAGAACTGCACCCTGGGGTGAGCCAGGAAGCTTCAGGGCTGCTGAGAAAATAGGTTATATAGGACTCAATTCTCATGTGGGCTTAGAGCCTGTTTTCCCAAAAGTTGTGTTGTCAGTCTAAAATCCATGAGTTCCCACTTCCCTCTGCCCCACTCACTAATCCTGTGTTTTTCATGCAGTCACCACGCCCGAGTTCCTGCAGAAAGCTTCTGTGGGCATCATAGACCACAACACCTGCAACTTCCTCTACAACTTCTCCCTCACTGACAGAATGATCTGTGCTGGCTTCCTGGAGGGGATGGTAGACTCATGCCAGGTAAAAGTATGGAATTTCTCTGCTCTGTGGATTGTTCCAGAAAGCTGGGCTACCTCTGCCTTCAGCAGATCCTTGTGAAATATTTACTGAGCTGCTGTGGCCAAGCTGTGCAATTCACCTGAGCACAAAAACCCCAGCCCAGTACCTTGGAGCTTTAGAAAAGTATATAAAGCTCCACCAGGTTGAGAATGACTTAAACCAACATCCCACTGTTCTGTCTGGCCAGATGAATCCTGGATGAAGCAGGTCTCCTCCAGTGGCAGTGAGACAGTGGCAGTTGGTGGAGTGGTGCTGACAGGAGCTATGAACTCTCAGGACAAGTGCCATTTGTATCTGTGCAGCCAGGTTGAGCCACTGACCCTCAGCTTCAGTGTCTGACATGCCTTGCACACACACTGCAAGACAGCAGACAGGCCCAAGGCTGGAGAAAGAAGAGTTAGGGGTAGCGAAGTCCTCCTGGTGTGGCTGAGGGGCAACCCCGTGTAGACCTGTCTGGGGGAGACTGTACTGAGCAGCTATTGCCTTGCTTCTTCTGCAGGGAGATTCAGGTGGGCCCTTGGCCTGTGAGGTGACCCCAGGAGTGTTTTACCTGGCTGGCATTGTGAGCTGGGGATTTGGTTGTGCCCAGGCTATGAAACCTGGTGTGTACTCCAGAATTACCAGAGTCACAGACTGGATCCTGGACACCATCTCACAGTTGCCCAGTCCTGGCACAGGCATCCCTTCCAGCTCAGCCATCACTAGAACTTCCAGCACAGTCATCCTCACCCAGCCCAGCACAACAGCTGCAAGTCTAACCAGCAGAACCACCCTGGGAACGAAGATGAGCACAAATGTGAGTGACAACTCTGAAGCTCTGAGAACAACTGCCAAGCCCACCCAAGCCCCAGGTAAAACTGATGACAGATGTACTGACATGTTGGTAGGAGGCCTCCATCACAGAGTACTGAGCAGGCCATGGGTTATTCCCTTCCAGTGGTGCCTTGTACCAGCTTCACCTTCGAGTGTTCCAGCAAGGTGTGTATTGGAAAAGAAAATCCTGAATGTGATGGTGTCGTGGACTGCAGCGACGGCTCCGACGAGCGCAACTGTGGTGAGTCCTGTTCTGCAGTCCCTGCTCTGCATGACCCAGACTCCCCAGTGCAACCCACCACATTCACACTGGCTGTCTTGGGCCCCACACAGGACACTGCAGGCCTGGGCCAGCCCACTGTAGTCCAGGTCCTACTTGTTCTGCCAGAATCTAAACCAAGATAAAGCTGGATGAGCAGAAAATGTGGCCTCTTTTCCTCTTCTACAAATATTAGAAACCATTTCCAGCACATCAGCCTTCTGGCCAGACAGTCTGGTAGCACAAGGTGGCAAGACAACTCTGCACAACATGGTAGCCCAGAAAATGTCTTGTCATCTCTGGGACTGCTCCTCGGTCTGCACATTCCTTGCTGTGTGATAGCTCAGCCAGTCCATCCAAATGTTCCTTTCTCACATACCACAGCCCTGGAAGGTGTGATCTGTGATAACAGTTTCACAAACCATACCCTGTCTGCCAAGCCTTGCTTCAGCTGGGTGAATGGAACCCATCACATCCTACTGCCCTGTGCACGCCCCACCAGAAGGCTGTCCCACGGCACAGGTGATGGAAGGCAGGCAGACACCCCTTTCATTTATGTTTATTTAAAACCATGGTGCTTCTTCCTCTGTCCCAGACTGTGGCCTAACAACTGCTCTGGCCTTCAGCAAGATCGTGGGTGGCAGCAGCGCAGCTCGAGGGGAGTGGCCCTGGCAAGTCAGTCTGTGGCTGCGGCGGAAGGAGCACAAGTGCGGGGCCGTCCTCATTGCTGAGCGGTGGCTGCTCTCTGCAGCTCACTGCTTTGACATGTAAGTCTGAGATGGGCTAGTGAAGCCAGCTGGCTCTTGGCCTCAGTCCCATCAGCCCATCTGCCCTTGCCCCCGTCGTGGTCCAGCACCACGGCTGGGATGCTGTGCCCCGTGAGAGGCTGGGATGCTGTGCCCCGTGAGAGGCTGGGATGCTGTGCCCTGTGAGAGGCTGGGATGCTGTGCCCTGTGAGAGGCACACGTTCCCTGTAACCCTGTAGGTGTGCCCCTACAGGGGAGTGTGAGGAGGAATGAGTGGAGCAAAGCCTGGGTATGCCCAGTGTGCTGGAGACAGGGGCCCTGGCCTCACAAGGTGTGGCTATAGTGCATCCCAGCCCCACAAGAGGAGGAATGGCCCTCCTTGTGAGGCCGTGCTCCTAACAGCCAGGTTTGCTGTCTTTCTGCAGTTACAGTGACCCCAAAATGTGGGTGGCCTTTCTAGGAACACCCTTCCTGAGTGGCATCGATGGCAAAATGGAGAAAATATTCCGTATCTACAAGCACCCTTTCTACAACATCTACAGCCTGGACTATGATGTGGCATTGCTAGAGCTGAGCACACCTGTCAAGTTCAGCAACACCATCAGACCTATATGTCTCCCAGACAAGTCTCACATCTTCCATGAAGGGGCCAGATGCTTCATCACAGGCTGGGGTTCCACGAAGGAAGGAGGTACGGGTTGAGGGGGCCCCCTCACATCCAGATGGTCACCCACCTTGCACACTTCAGCACGTGCAGTTCTAAATGCCACCGTCCCAAGCACTCCCCAGGCCAGGCTGGACCCTGCAGGGAACACCAAGCTGGGCAAGGCCTGGTATCACTACCATCTCCTCCACTGCCACCATGCACTGTACTCCATTTAGCCACACCTCTTCCCTCTTGGAGCCTTCCCAAGCTTTCTGTGTGCCAGCCACTGAGCTCCCCATCCCCACAGCAGCTGCTCCAGCTCTGCTCCTGCAGTGCAAGGACCCAGTATCATTTGTAGCTGGTCAGCTGAGGAGCTGGACAAAGTATACACCCAGGGGATCTTTCTGTGCTTGCTCTGCTGGGGAGGAACTAGGCCTGACTGACTTTCCCAGAGCAGGTCTCTCCCTCTGGCCAGCAAGTAAGGCTGCAGAGACCCCACTCCTACACATGCTTCTGCTTCTCACGTGCTCTGCATCCACTTAACATCAATACTTTTCTCCTCAGGTCTCATGTCAAAGCATCTGCAAAAAGCAGCAGTGAACATAATTGGAGACCAGGCCTGCAAAAAGTTCTACCCTGTCCAGATCAGCAGCAGGATGGTGTGTGCTGGTTTCCCACAGGGCACCGTCGACAGCTGTTCAGTGAGTGAGAGCAGCAAACCCTGCGGCTGGCACAGAGCAAGCTCATGCCAAGTCCCCAGGCTGTATTCCCTCAGGAGGGCCCTGCCTCCCCCAGCTCAGCTGCCTGTCCATCCGTCATGGCTGTTGCCTTTATCCATGTCCATCCTGCACACACCTTGTGTTGCTTGCCCCACCAGCCCATGGCAGGTCAGGGAGGTAATGCCAAGCAAAGGGCTACGGGGATACCTTGAAGCCTATTCCATGTACCTCCAAACACCCTCTTCCATGTTCCAGAACCCCAAGCTCACATTATTCATGCAGGTACATCACTGAGCAGTCCTCTAGCTTGGAATGGGCTCCTGGGGAAGTGGGGAGCAGGCCAGCAAATGCCCATGTCCCAGAGAGAAAGAACATTTCAAAGCTGGGGGAGCTGGGCTGCCGCTGGCTTGATACTACACCCTTTTCCTCTCTCTGCAGGGTGATGCAGGCGGGCCCCTGGCATGTAAAGAACCCTCAGGGAAGTGGTTTCTAGCAGGAATCACAAGCTGGGGCTATGGCTGTGCCAGGCCATACTTCCCTGGTGTCTACACCAAAGTCACAGCTGTCCAGGGCTGGATCGCGCAGAACCTCAAGCTCTGAAACTGCATTTCACCACTCAGGGAAGGCAAGGAATGAGAGGAGTAACTGCCAGAGGAGGCACTAATCCCTCAGCTATTATATGTTTTTCTGATGTTGCAAAGGGGTGAAGATGGCCTTGCAGGTATTAAGCAAATGCCAGTGTTGTGTGACCCACTGGTTGTGATACCAGGGCATTTGATAACTGCTTTGCATAGAAAGGTACAAATTCTAGGCATTTTCTATAAATAAATGAGGCCTGTCCGAACTAAAGGCCTGGCCAAACATCCTACGCATTAGAACATGACCTTTCTAGTTGGAGGGGTGCCCAGAACATCTGGCAGATATTCATGGAGTTTGGCTGACCTGTCTATGAGCTATCATCCCAAAGCCAAGCCAAGAGACCAAGTGAAGTTCATCCCAGCCCAGTTATGCCCTTGCAGAAGCCTCAGACCTCACTGCTTTGATGGAGCTGTTGTGCAGTGGCGCTTGGGAAGGGTGTGCTGCTGTTTTCACTCCGTGCCTGAGAGGTCAGTGACGACCTTCTGGCTCACCACTTGGTCCCAGAAGACAGGACTAAAATGCTTGGAGTTTGGATTGCAAAGGTCCTGATCTGTCCTAGAGGATCAAGACAGGCTTCTCTACACCCTCCATACACCCCCATCCACCCAACCTCCCCCCAGCTCCTTTTGCACTAGGGAACAGGTGATTAAACCGATTAAGGCATGGTCACACACAGCACTGTTTTGGTTAAGCCAGATGGGAAAAAGTCAAAGTGCTGACATAGGGTGCAAGGATACAACTCCTTCAGCAGGAAGTCAGGTCCCACCAGCCAGCATAAGACATGCAGACAACTTTGTTCATAAGAAAAAAACTGCTGCAGAGCTCATGTGCCAAGTCTTGGGCAGATTTAGACATCTCCCCAATAGATTCAGCCACCAGAACCGAACAGCTGCTTGTACCCCAAACCCCTTTCTCATTTTTGGTGCTTAAGTTCCGCATCTGGGCATAGCAAGAGGTTTCTTCTGTCTCAACCTAGCTGGTAGCAAGATCCACCACCTTCCCAGCTAAAGCACCAGCAAGGTGGGAGACCTGGCTTCCAGGTATGGCTGAGCTCCACATGGGTTCAGATCCATGGCTGCAACACTTGTGGGATGTTCCCATGAATGAAATGGGATGGGACCGCTGCACAGCCCATGCCACAAAATTCATATAGCTATAAATAAAAGTAAAAAGGCCCCTAAGCAAACACGGCTGAAAGCACTTTATTTTCAAATAGTCGTTCTGACAATCTGGAAGGGAAACTCCAGTTTCATTAAGTTCAAATACCCCATTATCGCCTCAGTTTACCTTGTGTGAGAACACTTTAGTCCCTTTATAGAAGCCACCACACTGGGAGATTAAATGAAATCAGGTTCTACCACATGCCTTTGAATGTCCTAGCAGGTATGGACACAACATCCTTCGTGTGTCTCCATGTCCCAGCAAACAGGGAAATCTTTTATAAAACGCAGATCTCTAAAAGAAGGGATTTTAAAAAAGCCTCTCTCTATATAGAGACACAGCCACCGTTAATCTCCAACACTCTCCTCTTGCAGCTGCTGCACCTACTGCTGACTATACAGCACAAACCCACCTTTTCAGGAGAGGTGTGTAAGCAGAGAACAATACAGAGTTGAGCACCAAAGCAGACGCACGTTCTCTGTTGCAGATATGCTCCTCCCTCAAAAAAATGATGCCTAGAAGGCAGGCTCCAAGATGGAATGCCTGTGCCAGAGCCAAACCAGAAGTTAGAGAGTATCACAGCAACACAACACACTTTATTCTTTAAAGAAATGAACCCAAGCACTTTATTCTATAAAGAAATTAATCCAACCACTTCCCAACCCTGTCCTTTCCCCCAGCTGTGCTGGACAACTATTTGCAAGGCTGTGCTGCAACCCGTTCCCCAACACTGCTTGAGCTGAGTCACAGCCTATGAGCCCAAAGTGAGCCCCACAGAGACACAGATACAAAGGAAGAAAGAGCCAAGGTGGCGCATGGAGAATCTTATGGCAGCTTTTCTTCTGATGAGACAGGACTGGGTAACTACCTGATAGCTGGGTCCGTGGTGGAATCTCAGACAAAGGGACTGTGTTGCTGGCTTGGCTTGGCCCCTCTTTTCCACAGAAGGCTCCTTGCCTGTCGCAGCCCTTTCAGTGGGGATTTATCAAGTGCTATAACGCTTTGGCCAGTCTGGACGCTTGGGAAGGGCAAGAAGTAAATCAAGCAGCTCATGGTGGCTCTCAAGGCTGGAAAAAAATCACTCCCTCCTGGGGCTGGTGCTAATAAAAGCCAATGGATGCAAAAGGTTTAGCGAGGGTTTATTGCTCTGCCATGGCAGGGGCTGGGAAGGCAGCAGGATTCACCCCCAACCACCTGGACTGGCCTCTCGTCCCTTCCCCACATGGTCCCTCCTGGCCCGCAGGCCGGGACGCGCGTCACATGTTGGCTCTCTCCCGCTGCAGCCGAGAATTGTAGGCTCGGGAAACCGTGTTCCAGGAATCCATGTACCGGTCCATGCACATGGCGATGCACTTCTGAGGGACACAAAGCCTCAGTGGCTGCCCCGAGCCGGGGGCCGCGGGTCCCCGGTCCTCCCGCCCGCCCTCACCTGCTCCGAGTTGTCCAGGGAGCCGCCGGGCTTCCCGATGCACTTCCGAAAGCACTTGTCCGTCATGCGCTGCGGAGAGAGCCCGTGAGCGGCACCGCGGCCCGGCGGCTCCGGCCGCGAGGGGAGCGGGACGGGGACGGGGAGCGGGACGGGGACGGAGCCAGCCCCGCCCGCCGCCCTTCCTGACCTGCAAGAGCTCCTGCGCGTTGGCCACGGCGATCTGCACCTTCACCTGCTCCATGATGAGCCCCGGGTCCAGCTTCCCCCCGCCGCCGCCCCCGGAGCCGAAGTCGGAGCCGAAGCCGCTCTCCATGCCCTCACCCCCCGCGCTGCCGGCGAAATGGCGGCGCCCGGACTGCGGTTCCCGGCGAGCCCCGCGCCGGGCGGGGCCGAGCCGAGCGCTCCGGCAGCGCCTCAGCGGGGCCGCTCCGCGACGGCCCAGGCAGCGTGACCTCCAGCGCGGCTGTCCCCGCCGGCCCCGGCCCCCGCACCGTGTCCGCCAGCGCGGCTGTCCCCGCCGGCCCCCGGACCGTGTTCACCAGCGCGGCTGTCCCCGCCGATCGCGGCCCCCGGACCGTGACCGCCAACGCGGCTGTCACCGCCGGCCGCGGCCCCCCGAGGCGGGAGCGGGCCGGGCCCGGGGCAGACACAGCGTTCGAGTGCCGGGGTTCAGCGCAGCCCCGCGGAGGAGCAAGGGGAATGCTCGCCTTCTCACTTCAGGATCAAGCCCGTTAAATTGAAAAACGCCTTCAGTGCAGGGGTGGCGAGAAGGGGGTGGGTACCCGCTCCAGCTCCTGCTGTTCTTCCTGCTGCACTTATTGCTGCTGATCAGAGGACAGCACTTTCCACCAGCACTGCGTCCTGATAAGGAAAGCGCTCGTTTGCTTCTGGAATACCCCCCGCGATCCCCGCCGGGACACACACAGCCGATCAGCCTTAGGAGCGGGGACAGCTCTTTGTGTCCTCTCTCTTTCCACACAGGAAGGGGCCCTGGGCTGAATCATCTCAAACAGGCCACTTGGCCTCAAGGTTGGTTAAAAGAAAGAGGGAAACCAATAAAATGCAAAACATTTATTCGAGTGTGTTGTACAAAAAGTTTCCAGTCATAAAATGTATATTACAAATCATTGAAAAAGACAAGACATTTGGCATGCATATTCTAAAAAGAAAAAAAAAAACACACTTTGAAATGATAAAGTCTAGATCATTATGTAGTTTAATTTTAAAGTTCCTAGTGAACAGTTTAATAATTTTGTCTTCTGTGTTTCAGTTCACAACCTATTTCACCATTCCTTATTTTAAAAATCTGAACCTTCCAAAAATTTATCTGCAGCAGCTGACTGGAGGCGGTCACTGCACTGAGCAGTGCCCTCAAGCCAAATCAAAATTGTGCCCCCAAAATTTTAAAAATTAAAAAACAAAAATCACAATTCAAGTCACAAGGCATCAGTGCTATGAAAATAAAAGTTCAACTGTATTTTGTGCCCAAATGGAAATCATTTTGGCTTAAACTTAAAATAGATTATTGCTTGTACTTTTAGTGTAATGATCTGGGTATCTGAATACACAGTAACATCTGCCTTACCAACACAGACTCATCACTTCAGTAAAATCTGGAAGTTCAATAAACCACATTTTATTTTCCTGAACTCCAAGTCAAATCACTGCTTATGCTATTCTGAATGGAGGCTTTCAATATCGACCATCCTTTTCATTCTAGACCTTAGCATTTCAAGAAAGGCATTATGTTTACAAATAATAATTGCATGTAAATATGGTCTTGTATAAAAAAACCAAACACCTTTAAATAATTTTAAACTGGTTTAAAGCTAAGCATATTGAAGGACAAATCAAAATTCTGTTTCCCAGGCCATTTTAAATGAGAAAACAATTTCTCCAATATCATGTCCTGACATTCAGCTAAAACAGTGCTTTGAAAAATGCAATCACTATCTCACCTTCCGCTCACTGGTTCATAACAAGGCTTTGCTTCCTGCTCACACAGGGTTTGGACCCAACAGTGTCAATAAAATCCAGGATCAAATATGGATATGCCTTTGTTTAGAGATAAGACTTTCAAAAGAAGATACAGAAAGAAGAGACAGAATGGTTTAACAGTGAAAATGGGAGAGAAGTGGCTACAAGAGATCTAGAACATAGAGCATGCATGTTTTCCTGCACCATCAAAACCCTTCTGATGTGAAGAAAAGTAAGATTCTCCAGTGTCCTGGGGTATAGAGAGGATGTTTACATGTCTCTTCTAACCTCTGTTCAGGTTGCAGTTAGAGGGCTTTTATACAGTATGAGCATTAAAAACAAGAAAAAAGGGTGTATAAAACCCATTAAGATCCCTGAACTGAATGTGAGGTGTCCCGTTGCTCGCGGACAGACACCACATGCAGTGATC